TTTTTGCAGTTTTAAACTATTTTGACCAACTATTTTTGATGGTTTCTGCATATAATTCTGTTATTCTTTTTTATTTATTCTGTTATATTCTGTTATTATTGCATCTAGAATGTTCATGGCATCTGTTGTCTTATGATTTAGCATCCCGAAGTTTAACCAATGCCTTTAGGGTGAGCGGGAACCAAACAGAGAGAAAGGAGGAGGAACCCCAAACCACGTCTCCTGTCAATTACATGAGTAATATGAAATTCTGGGTATACCATGATTGCGGTAGCAGCTTTGATGATGAAGTAGTGAGAAAACCAGCCCGGTAACAACATAAGTGCCTCTGAGAAACAGCTACAGGACCCATTCTTTCAGATGTGATCAGATATCTTTAACAGTGTCGTGGGTTCTGGGATTTTAGTTTATTTTGGATTGTGTTTTAATTTGTTTGGTTTAATACAGTTTGTGGCCTGTTTCTTTTTTGTGTGTGTATTTTGTGTTAGAGGCCTTTGGAGCTTATCCTAATCGGTCGTTTTTCTGCTCCTACCGTCTTTTTTGTGTGTTTTTTTTTTATTGTTTTTGTTCCTATGTTGCTCCCACAGTTCTCCATAATTCACCTCCTCATCATTTATGCTTTCTGTTTTTTTTCTCAGTCATTGTCAGGTCTTCATAGTCGTCAACACCATTTCTTCCTCTCATTCATTCTCTTTGTAATCTTGCTCTTTTAAATTGTCCGTAGTGTGTTTTGCCTTTCTCTGTAGGTTTTTTGTTTAGTTTTTTGGGGTTGTGGCTCGGCCACACTTTCAGTTCAGTTCTGTGCTTACATCTATCTTGAGTTCATCGCATCACTTCCTGCCATCGTCCACGTCTGCGCAGGGGTCCGGCTCTTCACCATGCTCACCGCACACTATGACAAAACGGATGTCATAGACGTGGTCTTGCCCTGCTCTCTTTTATAACTGCCATCGTAGACGATGAACCAGTTAAGAGGGAATGCAAGTTCCCGTCTGTGAATCCTGCTTTCTTTTTACAGAAGTTCTGATTTTTTCAAGGTTTCTTAGCAGCTAGATTCTCATATGTGAGTAAAGACCACAAAGTCAGTGGAGAAATTCTTATCAGATTCTAATAAAACATACTTTATTAAAGGTAAAAGTTAAAATCAGTAATCTAGATAACAATGTGAACCACAAATAACATAAAAAAAGTTGTTTATAAAAAAAGAGAATCAATTCAAGCATAGATCAGAGTCAATGAACTCAATGAACACATTATACATATAAATCTTTTACAGAAATAAAGCTCAGAAATGACGGTGTCCTCAGGTTAGCAGGTGGGCAGCTTGCACCCAGAGACATATGAATAGAGCTTGTTTCCTGCACGCGCTGATGTAAAGCGGCTGAGTTTGCAGCCTGCTGCAAAAACAAAGGCCAGGCTGCACAACCGTAAGGCTTGCTCAACGTCTCGTCTGCCACTGCGAGAAGATTTTCCGATTGTAACCGTCATCTATTTGCACCTTTGTCAGAAGGTCTCAGCACACCTTCTCTCTCATCCTCACCATATCCTGTTATGGTTGGAAATGCAAACTCTACACGAGGCTAAATGTAACATACAAGTCAGAACTTTATCCCAGAATTCAAGATAGTTCTTTTCTTTTTTTTTTTTTTTTACGTCTCTCATATTTCAAAAAGTGAAAAGTGAGTGGAATCAAAAAAGTTGCTGGAGTCTTTTAACAGTCACAAATCACAGGACTTGCATCTATTTCAAACTTTTAGATGGAAAATGTTTTTGTAAATGGAACGCAGACATATAAAAGCCAAAAAACGCTGAGCTGTTTTTGTGTTGGTGCATATGTTGGTGGCACTACTTAAGGAAACCTCACCAGAAACCTTTCTTTAAATCCACTTCACTCCAAACTTTTGTTTTTCGGCAGATCATTCTTTTGCTTTTCCGCCCATTTGCTGTTTTTTTTTTTAAGCTCATTCGACCAGCAAAGCTGCAAAAACGCACTTTTGTGCGCTTACAGTGAGCTTCAGTGATACAAACCTGCCCTGAAAGACGCACAATTTTACGATGAGTGACTGCATCTTGGTTATCTGTGTGTGTGTGGAATGGCTGCACAGAGATGACTTTATCTGTTCACAGTGGGGAGTGGGTATTGTCTCTGTCTGCCTTTCTCAAAGTCCGCCTTTTGATCTGTTTGTGAATTACAGCAGAGGTGTGCATGCATGTGTGTGGATCTTTTTTCTGCCTGGGGTCTTATCAGCAGTGGGTAATGGGGTACGTCTGTGCACTAATAAAGCCCCTCTTCACACAGGTTTTTCTGTGGAAATAGACTAGCATCCATCTATCCATCCATCCATTTATCCATCCATCCAGATTCTTAATCTGTTTTTGCTTTTATGTACAGGAAGGCGTGAAGGAGAGCCACCGCATCCCTCCATCTCCGGTCGTCCACGTCCGGGGGCTGTGTGACGCCGTGGTGGAGGCCGACCTGGTGGAGGCACTTGACAAGTTTGGCAGCATCTGGTAAAAATCAACTTTTTAAACTGTCTCTTTTAGTCTGTTCTGAGACATCATGTCTACAACAAATCACAATCTAAAGTACTGGTTACTGAGATGGATGGCTGTTGTCACTCCGTTTAAGTAGAGGATTTGAACAATTTAGGTACAAAATGTGTGTTCCTTACCTGTTCATGTGTTTCTGCTGGTCATTGCAATAATCAGACTCGAACTCAGAAACCACAATGAGCCACTTCCTGTAACTAATCTAGTTTTACCTTATGATATTGCTACTTCCTTGAGTCTATTGTCATTTTACTCTGTCTGCTGCAGAGATTCTAACAGGACGTAATCTATTAAGCATTTTGTGTGTAAAAAATGTCGATCGGCAAGTACAGTTCATGTCAGATTTTTGAAGCTGTAATTTTTAATGGTGCGACACAGAAAGAGAAGAACAGCCAGGAGGGTGTGGAGGTAGGAATAGAGCACATATCATCAGCTGTATGCCGTTAGTGAATAAAAAGAGGAGTGCTGTGCAAACAGCAGACACAATGCACTGATAAAGGCAGGTGGTTTCAATTCAATTCAATTCAATCTTATTGATATAGCGCCACGTCACAACAACCGTTGTCTCACAGCGCTTTCCAAACAGAGCAGGTCAGACCCTACTCTGAAGTTAATTGCAGAAACCCAACAATTCCCACCATGAGCAAGCACTAGGCGACACAGGCAAGGAAAAACTTCCTTTTAACAGGCAGAAACCTCGAGCGGAACCATGGCTCAGGGTGGGCGGTTTCTCTGGGCTTTGGGAGCAAATCTGAACATAGATGGCTCATTACTTGACGTCCTGTGGGACACAGCTACAGTTAGTGGTGGTGGGATTGTAATAAACCTACAACCTAATACGTCCCCCCACAATTTTAACCCCCTTTTTCAGGGCCGATTTTATTGTTTTTGTTGGCGTTTGTGTGAGGCGTCACAACTTTCCACCCCCTGTCTGTCTCTGTTGGCAGCTATGTGATGATGATGCCCTTCAAGCGTCAAGCCCTGGTGGAGTTCGACAGCGTGGAGAGCGCCGAGCGCTGCGTCACGCGCGGAGCCCACGAGGCCGTCTACATCGCCGAGCAGCAGGCCTTCTTCAACTTCTCCACCAGCCAGAGGATCACCAGACCCACCAACGCAGACGACCCCACCAGCAAAAACAAGGTCCTGCTGCTGTCCATCCAGAATCCGCTCTACCCCATCACCACCGTGAGTGCAGCCCCGCTTCCTGTTTACCTCGTTTAAACTCTGTTTTGCATCTATTTTTTTGTACTGAAAATACCTGAATAATCCCTCCACTTTTTCTGCTTATTTACCTTCAAATTAATCTCATTTTACTGCTTTTGGACCTGGGCAATGCTAATCAACAGGGGAACCAGCTCCTTTCTCTGTGGAGTTTGTATGTTCTCACTGTATGTGAATGGGTCATTTTCGGGTGCTCCAGCTTCCCACCGTCCAAAAACAGTCATGTTAGGTTAATTGGACACTCCAAATTGCCCCTGGGAATGAATTAAAGTGTGTGGCTGTTTGTCTCTGTGTGTGACGGACTGGCGACCTGTCCAGGTTGCAACCCACAGCCACACACACACACGACCACAACACACACACAACCCCCATTGGGAGTTACCAGGTATAGAAAATGGATGGATCTTTTTGGACCTTTCTACCTCCTTAATAAGTCTTCTGAGAGTGTTGTAGAAAGGAAAACCTTTTTTTATCTAAATAAAAAATTGATAAAATAATAGAAACACATGAATTGAGAATTTGCTGTGATCGAGCTAACGCAAGTTCCTACATAGACTAATCATACTCAATGCCACTCATCACCCAACAAGCACCATCCCCACTGGGAAGCATAGTGGTGGCAGCATCATGTTGTGGGAATGTTTTTTGCTAGTAGGAAATGGGATCTTACAAGAGAAGGGGAATGACAGATGGGACAATATTGGGGAAACTTGAGATGGAACACCAATAGGAAAATTATCCCAAGAACAGAAGACACCCGAGTGGTTAAAGAGCAAACATTTGAATGGCTCAAAGTCTAGATCTTAATCTGATTTGAATACTGCTGTACACCAGCAGAACCTATTAAACTGGGTGAATGGCTTTGATAGAATTGTGGCCTTGTGGCTGGTTGTGGCAAGATGACAGAGATTGTGACTGCTGTTGGATTTACAGACTGATTTCGGGACTTCAAATACATATGTATACAACTTTTTAAAAAATTGTTGCTTTTCATGTTTTTTTCACCATTTTAGGCCATTTTATTTGGTTGAATTTTAAATAAAATCCCCCACAAAAAGCTACTGTAACATATACAGTGCTGGGTTTGAGGTACCTTGTATTTTTTGCCAAATTTTTTTTTTTTTCATGATATTTTATTTTTATCTTTGAAATGCAAATTTTAGAACATCTGCTGAACAACAATTAGTTAGAGTTCAAATTAATTGGAAAAGGTTTGTTTTGAAAATTTGTTAAATTAATTATTAAGTTTAGATAAAGATGTCTTTATTTTAAATTCTGTCAATAGTCAGTTTAATCCCAGATTATACACTGGAGATTTGTGCAACAATCAATTCAAAGCTTGATTTTTAAAACATTTACATCTAAAATAGCTGTTATAACATAACCATATTTCCTATTGACAGCATTTTGTGATTAATATCATCAACCCTAGTGGACAAATGTTGGTTTTAAAATGTCAACCAGGACGTCATTCTAGGAAATAACTAACTTCTTGGAGCAACCATTGGGGTCATGGGCAGCCTAAACCCTATCCCAGTGGTCACTGGGCGAGAGGCAGCTAGTCCCCCGACAGGTGACCAGGCCATCACAGAGACACATGGAAACGAAAAACCACAGGCGCACACGTTCACTCCCACGGGTAGTTTGGATCTCCACTTAACTCAACTGTATGTTTTTGGACTCTGGGGGGAAGCTGAAGTCCTGGGAGAGAACCCACTCAGACATAGGGAGGCCCCTGAGGCCCCTGGGGGATTGAAACTGGGATTTTTGGGGGTGTTTTTTTGTAATTTTATTGACCAGTTACTCACACAAACTGATTGGATGTGATGAACAAAGTGATGTTTGTTTTCACTTTTACGTGAAATAGCTAAATGAACCCAATGTGAAGTAAAATAAATTGAAGGTTGAGTTTGATTTGATTGAGGTTTCAGTCTGTGCTAAGGCGTTTGACGGTGTGCTCTCTCTGTTTCTCGCAGGACGTGTTGTACACAGTCTGTAACCCCGTGGGGAACGTCCTGCGCATCGTCATCTTCAAACGCAACGGCATCCAGGCCATGGTGGAATATCCTGACCGCGTGTCCGTCACTGGGCGTTTCTGTGCTTTGAAAGATTTGGTTAAAACATGTTGAATCATTTTTTTTTTAGTCTTACGCTAAATCAGCTTTTACTGCTTCACTGACTATTTAATTTTGTTTTCGCTCCCGCTAATGCCACATGACGATTGGAAGGGATGGTAGGAGCAGGACTGTTCGGGGAGGTTCAAGCTGACGGGACATGTTTTGTCATAGTCAGATCGAGTTAGGATTACTAAAGCTGACAGCCAGCTCCCCCTGAGGTTTGCGTAGGTCCACTTTTGCTGCTCTCTGATTGCCTGCTTGCTGGTTTTCCTGCCGAGTCATCCTTAACAAGCTTGTTAACGTTTGAGTCCGTGGAGGACGCTCAGAAGGCCAAACTGGCTCTGAACGGTGCCGATATTTACTCTGGCTGCTGCACACTTAAGATCGAGTATGCTCGGGTAAACACACACGCACATACACACACATCCGGCCGTCACACACTCAGGGGCACGCACACATATGCACTCTCACCCTCATGCCCACGCACACACACCCACCCAGAGGTGCTGTGCTCTGTCGCCCCCTGCAGCCCAACAGACTGAACGTCGTCCGCAACGACAACACCAGCTGGGATTACACCAAACCCTTCCTCCTGCACCGAGGTAGGACACACACACACACACACGCTGCTGATCTGACCGCCGCACTCACTGAGCTGCAAAAACGGGAGATATTTAGTGGTTTATGTAACTCAACAGCTTGAGTTACTTGTTTAGAATACGTAAAAATACGTGGAAAAGACTAATGGGCCATGGTTTATGAATGGATTGCTTGGGTTTTTGTGTAGTGTTGTATATTTTAACTATCAGCTAACAATCCTATGGATCCAACAAAACACCAGATCTGGAAAAAGTTCTGTTACATAACAAATCTAAAGATCCTAAAGTTCTCCAAACATCACTCCCTAAATGCAGTGACTGTCAAATGTAATCCGATACATGAGTCTATTTCCATGATGATATGGTGATGACAAAGGGAAAACTCTAATTCTGGCTGTTTTCAACAGACATGATAAGAATATAAATGAAGTAAAATTAACAGTTCTCTGTAATTCCCTAAAAAGGCTATATGATAGCTGACAGGGTGTGCTGGCAGAGTATGATGCTGTAAAAAAGGTGCTTGTCCCAGCTTGATACCCAAATAAATGAACACACGCTGTCACAGAATAACGTGCATCGTAAATCCTGATGAAACGCTGAGAGGGTTGTCAACCTCAGTTTAGAGAAAAGGCCATGAATTTGCTTAATGGCACGAAAAGCTGAGGAAAAGGGAAACTTCCGGCACAACAGAATCAGCTTTGCAGTTTCCTTATTATAACAGAAATAGACTCCTTTCTCCATAGCCAGCAGCAGCATTCATGTAGATATGAAGTGTTCTAGATATTTCTTCCTTCCACATAATTAATCAGTGATGTTGGAATGCCGCTGTCTTATCTCCTTTTGGGGCTTCAGCTTCAGAGATAAGTTACATTTTTTTTAATGGCTTGAGAAATTGTGAGTAAAATGAGAACATCGGGAAGTTAAATGCATGAACTTTGTGCGTAAGACTTGACTGCCGTGTGCTGTGAAAATAAATTCAGGTTAAACTATCTCACGAGACTGGTTCAAGACTTTTTCAGTCCGCAGACGTTCACATGGCCTGATGAAGTAGCTTGTTTGGTGATTTTTGTATCAAGAATATTTTCAGATTTGTAGAAAAAATATATTTAAATTTCTTTATAATCACCATACTGATAAAAAGATGAATCATAGAGATAACGTGGAGACATTTGGAAAAAGAAAATACCTGCGGTCAATTTGGAAGCACCAATTTAGCCAAAACACACCAGAATATTTATGGATTCAAACATTGTCAGACCAAAGAGCCATTACATGAAAAACCAATCTGACCTTTTCATTGTCCAACAACAGTTCAACCAATTGACTATATGATTGCCCAGCAAAAAGCATGGAAAGGCCAGGTACAAAATCTAATATAAACCCTGAAAAACAAAAAGACTAATTGCCAAAAGCAAAAGTACGACCAAATAAAGAGAAATAAACAATTAAGTGAATAAGAACTTGGAAATCTATGAAAGAGTAATGGAGAACTTATGAAGCAAATGGACAGACAGAACTTAGAGACGGATCTGACAGACTGAGAGTGAGGGGCTTAGAGAAAGAGGAGGTTGATCAGTGACCCGAGACAGCTGGAGCTAAGGAGCACCGGTGAGGTGAATAGCTTTAATGAGCTGAATGGAAAAACTACCCAGGAGATTACGGTTAAAAATGACACGTGGAGTTTATGGCTGTAAGTGGTGCCAGTGGTCAGTTAAGGTCCTGGGACATCTGAGAGTCCATAGGTTTTCCAGACGTGCTCAGATCTGGATTATGCAGATATCAAATATCCCATTTGAGTTAAGAAGGTCTCAGGGTTTGAAAATACTCCTTATATTAGTCTGTCTGGACTAACTTACACTACCTGCTGCCTCCTTTAAACTGGCAGAAAAGAACTGTGTCATGGCTAAAAGACAACAATAAACTAAACCATTTCCTTTCCCAAAAAAAAAAAAGTTTTTCAGGTGAATAATTTGTTGAATCTGGTACTCTCTGGTTGAGTAAAGCCCCATGATATGGAAGCGCCCCCCTTCTGATTTGGAGTTGTCATTTAACAGAACTGTGTGGGTTTTGCCCAGACCCTGATTTGACCGGACATCACCCTGAAACGGTCATGCTTTAATTCTGTGTGTTTTGGAACATTGCTCTCTTTTTGGGCTGATGGCTACTGGGATGAGTGGTGACTTAGTCCCAGTCTAGCGTGACATTACTGTTTAGTTCATTACTGTTTGGTTCATCATCTTTCCCCTCACCCCCAACCGGCCGAGGCAGATGGCCGCCCACCCTGAGCCATGGTTCTGCTCGAGGTTTCTGCCTGTTAAAAGGAAGTTTTTCCTTGCCTGTGTCGCCTAGTGCTTGCTCATGGTGGGAATGGTTGGGTTTCTGTAATTATCTTCAGAGTAGGGTCTGACCTGCTCTGTTTGGAAAGCGCTGTGAGACAACTGTTGTTGTGATGCTGCGCTATATAAATAAAATTGAATTGAATTGAATTGAGTTGCGGTCAGAGTTTGTCAGGGTTTAGTCTCAGATGATCGGTAATTTAATAAATGTATAGTTTACGTCGAGTTGGACAACTGTTAAGTCCGGTGTGTGACTTTGCCAAGGGGAACGACACTTTCCCGTGGTCTAACTTACTTGAATTTGTTTTCTTTTGTCGTCTGTTACAGAACGGGGCAAGGGAAGGCAGCGTCAAGCCATCTTAGGAGAGCATCCGTCCAATGGCTATGGTCTGTCTGCATCGCCTTCTGCTCGTCCTGACGTCCTGTTCCCCGTTTCCTCGATCTGACCCCACTGCATTTTGTGTTTGTTTGTTTGTTTGTGTGTTTGTGTGTGGGTGTGCAGGTCCACACTGCCCCCTGCTGCCTCTGCCTGCTAACAGCAGGTACAGGAGGATGGGGGAGCAGGTCCAGGACATGGTCTCCTACCCACCTCTCCTACCAAAGACCTTTCCGTCCACTTCTTCTTCCTCCCTTCTGGGCTCCAGTTCGGTCGCTATGGTGAGCGGCTTACATCCCACCAAGATGAACTGCTGTCGGATCTTCAATCTCTTTTGTCTCTATGGCAATGTGGAGAAGGTGTGTGTGTGTTTTCATCCCTTCAGATTTGATGGTATCACTAGAGAGGGCTTGTAGAACTGTAGAGTAATGCCTCTAAATCTTGACAATGTGTTAACATCATCCATTGATCTACTTTTGATTTGGTTTGTAAGTGTTATCAATTTCCTTCTCTCAGCTTTCCTTTTTCACCTGAAAATAGTTAGAAAAATAAAAGCCAAATTTAGACATGAAACATTGTGCCATATTCTCTTAAAAGCAGAGATTCTGCTCTGAATGTGCAAGAAATCTGATTGAGTACCATAACAATTAATTCAATTAATTCATTTTCACATTTGTGAAATATGCTGAATAATTTAGCACTAGAGTGTCTCATTTATCTGTCAAATGACACATTTCTTTCTTTAAAAAAAAGACATTCTTAACTTCATAAAACTGCATTTCACCCTTTGAGCCGTTTCAGTGACGGTGTAACTGTAAAACCCGTTTGATTGGTCGTAGGTTAAATTCATGAAGAGTGTTCCTGGCACAGCCTTGGTGGAAATGGGCGATGAGTATGCCGTGGACCGAGCCGTGACTCACCTCAACAGCATCAAAGTGTTCGGCAAGAAACTCAACGTCTGGTGAGCGCAGACTCATCCTCAAAGCCCAGGACAATGTCGGGGCTTTGGCCCCGGAGTTGGGCGGAATCAGACAGTCGGTGTTAATTATACTAAAGTCAAACAGCTAAAGTTACATCCAATATTCATGGCCATCAAAAGACAGCGCCATTCCTCCTTTCTCTTGTTAGAATTCTTGTAATACTGGACTGAATTTTCTGGAAAAACCTGGCAACGTAAAAAAAAATATATATATATATATACATATATATATATATGATGATACAAACAGATGCATCTGCTTCCTCTCCAACTCTTTCAAGAAAGAGAAAATCAGAACGATCTTGTTAGAATTCTTGTAATACTGGACTGAATTTTCCAGAAAGACCTGGCAACCTAAAAAAACAAAAAAAAAAAAATATATATATATATATATATGTTGGTACAAACAGATGCATGTGGTAGGAAAGAGCTCCATCACAAATTTAGTGTCGGCTGGATTGGTCAAATCCAACAGTCTTCCAGAAACTGGACATCTGCTTCCTGTCCAACTCTTTCAAGAAAGACAAATCAGAAAGCTGGGTCAAGGTTTACTTTACTCTGTGTGTTCTTATCCAACGCGACACACAAACAACTAAAAAATGAGTCCCTCGATGCTTTCACAGCTTAAAAACTGGGCACCTTTCTGATATTCTTAGAACAGATCTGGCAGAATACGAACTTAAAAAAAAAAAGGGAAGGATTCAGGGAGAGAGGAGTCGCATGATCTTTCGGAGTGGATCTGGGCCAAGCTTCAGCCCATTCCACTCAGACAAAGCAGTGTTAATGGGCTTTCCTTTTTTTTGCCTTTTGCCTGCGTCCTTCCGTCCTCAGCGTGTCCAAGCAGCAGGCGGTCATCCCCAGCCAGGTGTTCGAGCTGGCCGACGGCAGCAGCAGCTACCAGGACTTCAGCCTGACCCGAAACAACCGCTTCAGCAGCGCGCACAGCAGCCGGAACATCATCCAGCCCCCGGCGGCCGTGCTGCACTTCTACAACGCGCCGCCCACCCTCAGCCAACACCAGCTGCTCAAGGTGGGCTCCCCCCCGCCCCGGGGAGTCCCTCTTTAGTGAGAGGGACGACTCCCGACAAAGAAAAACCTCTTTTCTGAACGAAAAAAACAAAGAAAGTAAGTTGTTTCCTCACCTCTTTTTTCCATCCGCAGCTTTGCTCTGAACACAACGTTCCCAGCTTCACCAAGTTCAAGGTCTTTGACGCCAAACGTGAGTTTGCCGCTCAAACACGGCGGTCAGCAAACGCATCTCCGCCCAGATATCCATCCACCTTTCTTTATCTGCCCCTGCAGCTAGCTCAAAGACACTTTCCGGACTGTTGGAGTTCGAAAACAAAACCGAAGCAGTTGAGGCTCTGACCGTCCTGAACCACCATCAGATCAGAATACCCAGTAAGTGCCTTTATTATGAAAATGGATTTGCATGAAGAACCAGTCATAATGCAGGTGGCTTTAATTCAAAAGTCTAACACGTTTAGCCATGAGTCAAAAGAGATACGGTTTGTTTGTTTCAACAATTGTGTAAAGCGGGTTTGTTTACCTCTGACCAACAGGCAGCTCCAACCCCTTCACCCTGAAGCTCTGCTTCTCCACTTCTTCCCATTTGTGATCCAGCGATAAGACGGCTACGGCGCAGACAAAGATCCTCCTGGAAATACAGCACGGGAGCCCATTTCTTCATTCTGAAAACAGCAGGAAGGCTATCGAGTGGGGCAAAAAAAAAATTGCATGGTTTTTGAAGAGGCAGTATGACCAAAAGAAGCAATAGGATGGCATTGCAGTAAAATGGCAACTTAATGGGGTTTTCTGTCCGAATTTGTTCCTTTAGATTTACATTTTATAGCACAACCTGTTGTAGACAGCGTGAGATACTTCTAACTGTTAAAAATATGTAAGGGTTCTAATCAGTTCGTACATGTAAATGTGGATCAGAGGAATGCTGATGGGGAGCTACTCGATAATTATATTTATGAGACGGGTGGTGTTTTAAATGCAGCCCCGGGGCAGCAGAGTATCGACCGAGGTGTTCAAAGTGACAAACAGAGCTAATGATATGGAAGAAAGAAAGGCATAAAAGGCATAATCAACCAATTATTTCACGGTGGTCACATTTAAAAGCACAAATAGACGCATCCACACCCCCAAACACTGATACTATTAAAAAAAAAATCCAGATAAATATAAGCAAATGTGGAGGATGTTTCTACAGAAGCATCCACCTCCACATGTAAAACTATTTTGGTATGCTTCATTACAAGGTTTGGTAGCTTTGTAAATACTGGGATTGAAAACATGTTTTAACATATTAAACAGGAATAATTAAGTAAAATAGAATTAAAAAGAATTAGTTTCCCTTATTAAACATGTAAGATTGGATTTCCGATCCACAGAGTGAAATATTACTTGTTAAATTGAAGAAATATCAATAGAGAGGCTTCCCTGGATATTCAGATTAAGACTGAGAAAGGAAGAGAAAAATGGTTTGTTGCTTTGACACCACAGATGTTACAATGAATAAAGATGACATTCTGTATATACTGTAGTCTTATTTAGTTTATTTATATTAGTTTGTCAAACATCATAAGCAGTTGCTTCTTCCTGAGATGTATGGGATGACAGAGGAGTGCCAAAAAAATGAGGAGACATAAGAAAATGTGAAAATTTGAAGGAATTTGAATAAAGTAATGAATTAATTATGGAATATTGTATTGCTCATTTACATATTGTAATGAATTTATTCATGTTGTTTAATTTTTCTGTATTTCCTCATATTTATTTTTGGATTGGGTTTTATTTTTTTATTACACTGCAGTTGTAGTTAAGTATTAGTTTAGTTGAGTTTGTGACTGCTGTAGCTTTTATGAGCCGGTTTTTCATTTTCCTTTCTCTGCATTGCTTTTGCTTACTTTCTTTGCTACTTCTAAAAAATAGTGTGTGTGGAACTAACCATTAAACTATTCCTTCTACAAAACCAACACAAATCAATTTTTATCTCCACATGAGAAATACCAAGATCTAGACGGCGTATACAACAAGACACGATGTTTGGAAGTGGTAGCGGTCCTTTAGGAACAGGATTAGCTTCCCTCTTGTGTGCAGCCTCACTTTCATAGGAGTCAACCTCTACGCAAATGCTGCTTCAAGCATGTTTTGAATTGACACAATTGCGTAACATCGTCCACTATTGCCAGTGTCAGACTGACTGCATGGGAATTTAAATGATAGGTATATCCTATCGGTTAGTTTTGCTGATTTACAAGCTTGAGTTAGCCCGTTGATAACCAAATTATGCTGTCAGTGTCTAAGAAGGGAAAACTTTTGATATAACGATGGCTGACCTAATGGCAAAAGCAAGGGAGAAAAGCAGTAAAAATAAATTGATAAAAAGGGAAAAGCAATACAGAAAAGGTAAAGGAAAGACTACTTGAAAATGGCTAAAGTAATAATGATATAGCAAAAACAATGTGGAAAAAAATGACAATCGTTTATTTTATATCTCCATTTCATTTTCATAATCCAACATTTATTGACTTTCATTCATTTCTCTTTACAAGTCCCCCATTATTTGCTCACGCTATTACATATTCATAATTTTTTTTTATTGCACTTCAATAACTCCTTTGAACATTTCATTAGAATGCACAGTTGTGATTCCACTGTTCCCCATCATTTTCCTTTGACTCCACCATAGCGGCTTTTATGTACAAGCAGGAAGCTGTGACTATTTTGTTGGTAAAACACTGATTTATATAGATGCGTTTCATTTTAAATTGCTGCATTATGTGTGACCTCTTTTCTTTTCATGGGTGACGTCTGAGAAGAAAATGATGATGTAGTTTTCCTCAAAATGAACAGTTTTATTAAAATGAATATCTACATTGTGTCAAAAATAAAGAGTTAGTCAAGAAAAATACATTTTAGACTGTGATGTGTTTGTTATGGGAGCTAGGAGGAATAAAAGCATTGGGTTTTTGTGTTGATTTTACAGATGCAAAGCTTAACATGGGTGGGTTAACTGGTAATAACTGGTTTAGAGAATTAAGACAAGTTTTTGCTGTGGGCACGACATGAAATAATTTATTTTTTGTGGAGTAGTAATGCAATTAAAGAGCAGTAACCACTAGCATGCCAAAAATGTCAACCTTAACATAGACAGATATAAAGTCCACACAAAGGTTCTCATTGTCTGACTTGGGGAGAGCTTTGACTGGTTTGGCTAAAGTGACAACAGCAGGGTGAAAATAATCGATAAACTAAACGCTTTACGCCGGGTACATCAGGGACTTTGAGTTTGTTCAGAAGAACAGAATAATTTTTGAATACACAACAGTTTGTGTAATGTGAAATTACAAAATGACAGTTGACGTCAGTTTAAGGTTTGTGGTATGTGTCATTCTGAATTATGTCCGGCAGCCAGTCAGCCAGCTCTGTTTTACAGAAGCCTGTTCGACCAGACTGTCATCAGATAGCACTTTGGCATACCGACATCCAGGTGTTAAGACAGATTCGTGTCTGAGCAAAACAGGTAGCAGACGCCCTTTGACACACATGAAAAATTAAGTCAGAACCTCACCGTAAACAACTGATTTCTCTGTCTGTCCACCAGTCTGAAAATGAGGTGAAATCCCATCGCATCTAAAGGGGTGGATGGTTTTTATTAACAGGCAAGGATTGTTTCTCCATGAATGGTAAGAGGCAACAATGGATCATTTGAGAGTCAAATTAATTTTCCACAGAAATCACAAGGTTTCAAGTCAGACACTCAGGCTGAATTAACTCTTTTATGGAGTGTACAGACTCCACAGGCTATATGGGACAATATCACTATTTAAAAAAAACGTTTGCAACCTTTTTTAAATGAAGAAATTATATTAAAAGATAAAAATCAAAGACATGTTTAACCGTTTTCAACAAGTTACGAAACACAATTCCTTAAAAACCAGTCCTGTCATACTGACACATAACCAAGACAGTGCACGTTTTCTAAAGGTGAGGAGGGGGGATAAACAAAGCTACAGAGACCATTTACGTACCGGATGTGCAATATCTGAATATGACGAGCTTATTTAAATCAAAGATGCTCGCAGGAAAGGTTCGCGAGAGGGAGGTGATTGCAGGGGGCGGGGCTTATTTCAGTATTTTAAGACAACGCGGGGCCGCTGTGGGTCCTGTGACGTCACGGCAGGCTGCCGCTATCAGCAGGTCAAGAAAGATGGCGGCGGAGGAGAGCAGGTTGAAGCAGCGGAATCACAAAAACAGCATCTTCCGAGAAGGTAGACGAACCCACGCTCTCACAGAGCTAACGTGATACGCTACAGTAGAAATGTCTGCGTTCGTAGTTTCCACATTCGTATATTTATTTTCTATTTATCTCAGGAATGTTATGAAATTACTGGAGGCAGCGGTCCGCCTCGTCGAATAATCTCATCACCCATCGCTTCGCACCCTGCTGAGAAACGATAACTCCTTTACGCGAAAGGGGAAGAAATGTTTCTGTAAACATGACACTAAATGAGCGGTGAATATATACGGCCTGTAATTGAGTCGCCTCGTTTAACGTTTAAATGTAGCGTCGGACAGCAGCCGGTGCTGGGGGCTCTGTGAACCCGCCCAGCTGCCCTCACCTGCGGCTCACTTTGTTGTTAGCGCCCCTGCTAGCATAGCCCTTTTCCTGCTAATTTTTTCCCCTTTCCCAAGAAACTGTTGGTAAAAACTGCCAAGCCACGGTTTCAGGCAGAGGTTTGAAATGTCTGTACACCGTTCCGGTTCGGTTCGAATAGCAGGCGGAGGGAAATTGCTGTGTAATTTCAGTCGGATGAATAAATATCGTTGATTATAACGGGATCATTTCCAGAACGCCTACTTCGATATACCGAATGTATCTTAGCTTTCTGTTTTTTGCTAGCTTTATGTACACATAACATAAACGCATACAAATGAATTCAAAATACAACTTATGTTAATAATTGCTTGTGTAAAAGCATGACATGTCCGACCGGTGCTGAGTGATTTGACAAAGCTAAATCGCTTAGATGTGACAATGAGTTTGGGATCCATTAGATGTATTTCTTGCCGGAAATCACATTCCAAGTGTCGTTCTAAGGGCGTGAAGTCGTGGTTGTATTGTGAGGCTTTTCGGGGACGCCTGCGGTGGGTTGGATGTGCTGTTTCAGCTCAGTGACTGGCTGACTGGTAGATCCCAGTAATCTGCTCAGTGGTTGACGCTCAGCTGGTTTGACCAGGGATCCGGCAGTTCTCCGGCCTAAATAACTACAGCAAGGCAGGACTCTGGAGTTAGATAACTTTTATTGTTCTTTAGGAGCGGGAAAAGTTGTCAACACATTCATAGGATTCAGCTGAGTGCACCTGCCTTAACGTGGGACTCACGTGTTGAATGGTTTTATGTGTGGCGAAATGCGCACCAACAACTCTGTGAAGGAAATAATGCACCAGGAAAAGGCATAGATCGTTCCTGTAATACAAAAAAGACAGCCTCATCTACACGTGAAATCACAAGTTGAGCATGCATTTGAAGTGGGTCACATTTCAGTGTTGATAGCTTTGCCTTCCGGGCCTTTTATGGACAAATTACTGGAGGAATCTTCTTTGGTTTTGTCACGGCATCAAAGCGATTAGCTTGGCTTATGCAGTTTCTGACTGTCATGCTGGATATTCATGTGATCAAGCATCTTCAGTTTTTTTTCACATATGCCTGTAAAAAATACTGGACGTTTTGTCAGATTTCAGTTTTTCCCTCTTTTTTTATATATATATATATATATATATATATATATATATATATAAAAGCCTTTAACTGACATCTGTTCAGTCATTCAAGGTTTACTACATCTACAGTAAATGGGATACAGTCATTTTTGCTGTTGTTGGGTCACAGATCCAGAGGAGGAACTCAAACATTTCTCGTCCTAGTCCCATTCCCCAGCTGGCTCTGCCCTCGGGTCTCCTCCACGCCTGAAAAGCATGAAGTCATCCCAAACCACCACAGCTGGCTGAAAAGGAGGGGCAGGCTGCCCACGCTTCCTCAGTTCTCTTGTATCTGCAGTCAAGTTGTTTAGGTCGCTACCCAAATCTCACTGTAAGGTGAGCATTGGAATGCCATCATTGGTTCAAATGAAGTCTCCATCTCTCTGACTTTGTTGTTCCAGCTTGCCATCACTTGTGCAAAAGATGGAGCCACTTGAAATCCTCAACAATAGTCAAAGAGCAGTAGAAGGAGCCCTCCGACTTGAGAAGTGTGGCTTTGGATTTGAATGGACCGACGTTCATTTTGCCCTCTTCGCATTCGGTTTTGCGGTGTTCCAGAGTCATAATTCAGCCTGTGTTTTCACTGTTCTGCTGCCAAACACAATACGTTTAGATTGCATAGTGAGAACACAGCTATCTGAGCACTTTTTTTCCCCGTCTTAATCCACTTTCTGTTGTCGAAGTAATCTGATATTTTGCCTGATTGCATAACGGGAAGGTTGGGCTGGCTTTGTGCTATGTTTCTATGTGCTGGGGAAGTCATTTCCCCCAGGCAACGCATGTCCTGTGCGGAGACCTGGAACACTGAACCAACTGCATCGCTTGTCTCTTCAAAAGCCCCGGCTAACGCTGGCATAACACAAAGGCCTTCATAAATAATGTATGTCAGCCTTTACGTTACTTCCATCTTTCCTGTGACTATTTTTTTTCTCTGTTGTGGCCCTGACTGCAGAACACCCACATGACCTTGCTGTGTTCGCAGCCATGACACTCCAGGGCCTTCCAGGCTGTTCCGGGCTGATCCTCTGGCTTAATATCACGTCTGATGGCAACCTTTGCATTAGATCCATCACGGAAGTTCGGATTCTGATTGTTTTTTTTGTTTTATTTTTTTAACTTTCTGGTGAAATTTTGGCATTAGGAGCATAACTGCTGTGGATGGGTGAGGGGTGGGCTGAAAGTGACTCTCTGACCTAGTGTATTTACTGTAAACTAGTTGGTTCTGCAGTCCATTAATGGCCATGGCTTCAGCTAAGCTTTCCTCTTGGCTGCGTTCTGTGAGGCTTCACTAACGTCGGTCGAAAGATCCAGTCTGACTGTGGAATGTTCAAACTGCTAGTTTTCTTATTTATTCATAGTTAAATGGAGAAATGACTCATTTCGATCATATTTACAACTTTTCTCTTTGACATTTGGAGTTGAATATAAGAAAGGGCAGGGGACAAAAGGGGGGGGGGGGTGGTATGTTGTACAGTGTTTTTCACATCGTGCTTAAGTAACGTTACATTTCTATTTTATAATGGCCTGTGTGAGATGTTTGACCTGTCCAGTGTACTGCCTCTGGCCCCATGACAGCTGGGAGGTGAATTGGGGGAAAAAGCAGGTTTAAATGTATTTATTTTTTGATTGATCATCTTTATACCTCAAACTGTGGGCTGTTGAAATGATCGAACTTTTGAGTTCTATTAATATCTTTTTTTTATTTTCAGATATTTCATTATGTATTTGTTTGACCCCTTTCAGTTATCAAACTTTAATTGAGAACCAGGAAGGCCAACTTTCGGGACAGTTGATAGGACAAGATAAAGAGGCCAACATGTACCACGACACCAGGCCTGTGAAAAGCCGTCTCCTGTTACGGATCACAATAGAAACTCGGCTTAAACTGAAGAGCGATGGCTTTTGAAAAGACGCACAGGTAGACTTGGAATAGACTCCAGGATATGACAAGGCTTCCAAACTGATCCTGATGTGGGCCCCCTCCATCACCTGGCTCAAACCAGGAGCTCTGTAACACGCCAGTGGATTTGTGATTGATGTATGTGGACTTAAATACTCATTGAGGTCTGTGCATTGGCCTGATTGCTACATTTCTGGATTCAGATGCACATGCAGCTTTGGCCCATTTTTCATGAATGGAACAAACTGCCGGTGCAGAACCCCAAACTGTACTCGGTGGGATTTAGTGGGCAGGTGGCCTTCTCTCCTTTTGTGAGCGTTGTCAGATTTGAACAACCTAACTTTTTTCAGGAGGTCATGGGTTTAAATCCGAACCATCCCAGCTGAGGCGAGCCGATGAGGAGGATGATGTCCTGCTGGGTGAAGAGGAGGAGGAGGCGGCCGCGGTGGCCCGGCCGGTCCAGATCGTGGTGGCGGACGAGGAGGAGCACTCCTTCTCGCTGCAGGAGGAGGCCCTGGAGCAGCTGCTGCTGCAGCCGGAGGTGCGGGACCTCCACGTGGTCGTGGTCTCGGTGGCCGGAGCCTTCCGCAAGGGCAAGTCCTTTCTCCTGGACTTCATGCTGCGCTACATGTACAAACAGGTACTCCGCTCCGATGGCGCGTGAAGCGCTTCCACTGGGCTCAACATGCTTGTGTTGCCAGTGTAGTTTGACCCGTAGTTGTTTTTCAGACTTCGGTCTTTAGCTGAAATGGTCAGGGGGGTTTTGGAGAAGGCTAATCCTTTAGCCCCGGTAGTCCTACAGTGAGCGCCGAGGAACATTCTAGAGGGTTTCATCGTGCTGCAAAGAGGATTTGAAGTTGGCACAATGCTGGCTCTGTCTGTGGGCCTCCAGAACTCACTCCTGATTTTTCCCAAACATAAAGGCCATCTTTATGCTTGGGAAAAAGCCCAGTCCCCACACGCAGGTCACAGTGAGGTTACCACGCACGGCCGGTGCACAGGCCTGAAAAGGGCAACTGGGGAAAATGACTTTGGGTTATTTTCTAAATGATATTTTCACATCAAACTTTATTTTTATTTTTTTCAATGTTTATATGTAATTTGTACTGAAAACATGCATAAAGGTGTCTTTTTTTTTTTTTTTTTGCTCTTTGAAATGAAATGTGTATGTTGGGATGTGCATTATTTTTATATATATATATATATATATATATATATATATATAACGTTTTCTTTGGTCTCTTTAGACCAGAGGCACATAAAGCATCATCCAAATATCTAACCTCAATTAGTAGGAAGCTTTTGCTGGAATAGAATGGCATCATTTTTGCTGTATAGCTTAATGAGCTCTGCTTTTGGCTACATCCAGGAAGCCAGTAGCATTTGAAAGGCAGGAACAGTTTCATTGGTTTGTGGACTACGTTTAAGCCGTCTCATTGGTCATATTCCAGTCACACGACTCGTGGGTTGGCGGGGAGGAGGAGCCTCTGACCGGCTTCACCTGGCGGGGGGGCTGCGAGAGGGAAACCACTGGCATCCTGGCCTGGAGCGAAGTGTTTGTGGTGGGGAAACCAGATGGGAGCAAGGTGGGTTATCCATCAACATAATGGCTCCGTTACCCATCGTAATGGTGTGTGTTTTCCTCTTTTTACATGGATGTATCGTAACCGTAACCCCTGTTAAGTGCACGCGACTATCGAGTTGTAATACGAGCTACCTACTTCGGTTCTTTTCTCTCTGTCTTCCTTTCCAGGTTGCAGTTTTAATCGTGGACACGCAAGGTGCGTTCGACAGCCAGTCCACCATCAAAGACTGCGCCACGCTGTTCGCCCTGAGCACCATGACCAGCTCTGTCCAGGTGAGTGGCGGGAAGACGACAGTTTCCACCCACGCCTCTAAAGTGGCCGCCGGCGTTTCCTTTATTGAAAGAAACACAAAGTCCTGAGCCTCCCACCGTCGCTAAGCTAACGGCTCGTTCCGTTTCAGGTGTACAACCTGTCGCAGAACGTCCAGGAAGACGACCTCCAGCACCTCCAGGTGCGCAGCTCTTTCCCCTCCTCCTGATCTCCCCCCCTCCCCGTTAGTGGAACGACCTACAAAATGCCACTGCATTAGGGGTCCCCCTCCATCTTCAAAAGGCTCCTCTCGTATAAAACTAACTAAATTACATGTCTTTAACAACCCCCTCCCCTTTTTTGTTTTTTCTGTGTTCCTGCTACTATATTTCACAAACTGAAGCCCAACGACCTGAATATCTGCTCTGTCCCACTAACGGACTCCTGATGTGAGCTGTTTTTTTTTTTGTTTTGTTTTTTTTTGGGGGGGGGGGGGCTAGTTGTATCCTTGTAAGTGGCTCTGCTGTTGTAAGTGCCTGCTACACGCAGAAACGAGGGAGGCAATCACGCCGACCTCATTCTGTCCTGACCACATGACTCAAAGTCCGTGGCCGCTCCTCTGAAACCTCATTTAGTTTCACCCCGGCTGTTCCTGGCTCATAGCTCGGTACCAAACCGTCTCCTCCTCGGCTGATGGAACCCCAGGTCAGACGTTGACTTGCTCCTCATTTAAAAATGGTGCTAAATAAAGAGTAACGGGGAGCTTCATCAGGGCTGTCCTTCAGACAGGAGTGTCTGGGGAAGAAAAACCGTAATGGAGAAACGCACCAGTGAACACTTGCTTACCTCGTTGGCTGCCTTATTAAAGCCTGTAAACTGACTGTTCGGGAACCGTTTTCGAGGCTTAGATTTTCTTATTTTAAGACTCATGCACTCATCCATTTGTCCTCTGATTGCTGCTCCGTAGGGGTTTGATTTTAAGCAGAGTGCCTGTTTCCTCTCCGCAGCTCTTCACCGAATACGGGCGGCTTGCCATGGAGGAAGTCTACGAAAAACCCTTTCAGGTTTGCCGTGTGCGCATGCACGCATACTTTACATCAAACTAAATGGTGTGTGTGTGTTGAAAGAACCGGCGTGCCATCTGACACCAGCCCCAGATTGATTTGCAAACTGAAACTCTTCCTCCATTTAGCTCCATTTGGTTTTAATAAAAGGAAAGGGAAAAAAAAAACCTAATTGTTTCTCTCCCCAGACGCTGATGTTTTTGATCAGAGACTGGAGTTACCCCTACGAACACCCATACGGCCTGGAGGGAGGGCAGAGCTTTCTGGAAAAGCGACTGCAGGTGAGACTCAGAGCTCCAGCTTTCCTTTTGAGCTCCGAACAAGAGCGGGTAAAAACAAAGAACCCGACGGGACCCTGTTCTCACTGTGCCCATCCTGACATTCTCTGATTTATTTATTTATTTTTTCCTCAGGTGAAACAGAACCAGCACGAGGAACTCCAAAATGTCCGCAAGCACATCCATTCCTGCTTCTCCAACATCAGCTGCTTCCTGCTCCCACACCCCGGCCTCAAGGTGGCCACCAACCCCCACTTTGACGGCCGGCTCATGGGTAAAAAAAAAAAAAACATGTTATACTGGCATGTTTCCACTGAGCACAAGCTGGAAATGCATGTCAGCTGGAACAAAGCTGTAAATGTTTTAACACGTGAAGTCTTTCTGTGCGTTCTAAGACATCGACGACGAATTTAAGAAGGAGCTGGTGAACCTGATCCCAGCGCTTCTTTCTCCCGAAAATCTGGTGGAGAAGGAAATCGGCGGAGTAAAAATCACCTGCAGAGACCTGCTGCAGTACTTCAAAGTGAGTTGGTTTTGTGCTCGGTTTGCTTTTTGCTGGGCAGTTTGTTTTTTCTTTATTTTTGTTTAGCTTAAAGTGTTTTTTTATTTTATTATTTATTTATTTATTTTTTTGTACAAAAATATTTTAATTGTTTTTCCTAATTGTTTCCAATTTATTTTTATTTATTTTTTTATATTGTGTTTTTTTTTTTTCGTTTAAAAAAACAAAACAAAAACATTTTTGTGGTTTCTGTCTGACAGCTTTGACTACGGTACAACCTCATCACCTTGGGTTATTCTTCTGTTTTCAGGCCTACATGAAGATCTATCAGGGAGAAGAACTTCCCCACCCCAAGTCCATGCTGCAGGTCAGTAGCTTTCCTTTCAGTCGCCTCGTTACTGGAGCTGCGCTCTTCACTGCACAGCCAGGTGGGGAACGTCGCTGTAAACGTCTAGACACTGATGTACTACCTCAGTTTGTTCTGATTTTTTTTGACTGAATTGAGCTTAATACCTCAACTTAAGCAGGATGTAAAGAGAGACATAGAAATGGGATCATATAAGCTTTAGATTAAGCCTCTTTTTGTTTATTTCTGACTATATGGTGGGCCAGCTCAGTCAGCCTGTGAGGGCTAAAGTCTGCCTCCTTTAAGGAGATTGTGGTCATTTATGCTCTTCATTCTACACAAATGACACGGGAAAGGCATCTACTGCCAACAATATGGATATTGTTGGCAGTAGAGGCCTTTCCCGTGCTATGAATTCAAATATTAAATGACATTCTCTATTTTTAGGAGAAATGGCATTATTTATTTATTTGAAGCCCCTCTTTTGCCGGCTTCCTCCATCCTAGCTGAGGAGGTGCTGCTTATCCACTCTTATGTCCTCCCTCCAAAGTCACAATAGCCTGACCCCAGAACTAACATTCTCCTGATCTGTTTCATATAGAAAACAAATACAAATGTATAGAAATACAATCATTGTGTAAAATATTCTGTTACAGATGTTAGCAAACGAGGCTTTTTCCCCCAAACGATAACGGCTCGAACCACAGCATAACCTGTAGCGATGCATGCGTGCTATTCGGGTTTTGTGGTTTGGAATGACTGAGTGTTTATAAGAAACCTGCTGATCATTTCACATGGATGCAGCTAAACGATGTCCTACCAGCCATGCTCACCTTTTCAGAAAGGAGCCACTAAGCTGTTAGCGTTAGCTGCTGCTAAAGGTTGGAGGGGGAAAAAAAGTTATTTTGTCTTTCAGGCAGTGTTTTCCCTTGATTGGGTTGGTTTCTTTGCCATTTAAAATGAAGAATTTTTTTTATTGTTTTTTTGTTACCTAGGCAACAGCTGAAGCGAATAACCTAGCGGCTGTGGCAGGAGCCAAAGACGTGTACACGAAGAGCATGGAGCAGGTGAGGCGTGGTTCCCTAACAGGCATCAGGCGGCGTTCCCCTTCCTGGAAAGGCATCTGAAGTCCGGTCTGCCGCCCCTCAGGTCTGCGGGGGGGACAAGCCCTACATCGCCCCGGCCGAGCTGGAGCGCCGCCACCTGGAGCTGCGGGCGGCGGCCGTGCGGCACTTCCGCGCCGTCAAGAAGATGGGCGGCGAGGAGTTCTGCCGGCGCTACCAGGAGCAGCTGGAGGCCGAGCTGGACGAGGCCCACGCCAGCTTCAGCCGCCACAACGACGGCAAGAACATCTTCCACGCCGCGCGCACGCCGGCCACGCTCTTCGCCGTCATGTTCGCCGCCTACGTGGCCTCGCTGGTCACCGGCTTCGTGGGCATCAGCTCGGTGGCCGTGGCCTGCAACGTGGTGATGGGGCTGGCGCTGGCGGCCCTCTGCGTCTGGACCTACGTCAAGTACTCCGGGGAGTTCCGAGAAGTGGGGGCGGTCATCGACCGGGTGGCGGAAACCCTGTGGGAGCAGGTGAGCGCCGACACGCCTGCATCCCCCGCTAGCCATAAGAGCATGGCGACTCTACTAAATAAGCCGTTTTTCTTTCTTGTCCTAGTTGAAGTTTAATGATACAATCGGGGCAGTTCTGCCTTCCTCCTTTTTCTAAAAGTGGCTTCTCGGACGATTTGTTGCCTCGTGCAGCTTGTTTTGAGGTTTCTTCTTTTCAGCCCTCCCTTGAGGTCATTTTGTCATCCCAGGGTTTTATTTTGTACATTCGTATTGCTTCCCTTTCTGGGGCACCACAGACATCTTGTACAGTTTAGGTATAAATAAGCTGACAGGTTTTCATTGTAATACTTCCCCTTTTTTTTTTGCCTTTTATTTTAAAATTGACTCCAACTCTTTAACAAGATTCCAGGTTTTCTGGCTATCGCAGACCTCCTAATTCCTTCTCTATTTTTGTCCCCTTTCTGCTCTCAGAGGACTCCAAGAAAGGTGAGCTTGTCTTAAACAAAGTCCCCCGTTCGTAATGTGCCATAGGACTCCGGCCGCCTTTGATTGCGACGGCTTGAGGAGAAGCGCCGGCATGCTGCTTTATGGCCGCGTTACCGGGTCAGACCTCGTAACGCGGCGCAGCTTAGGTCCAGAGTCATTACTGTGACGGCAGCTGAGTAAACTGTTGTTCAGTGGAGTCTGAGGGATCGGATTACCAACGGTTCAGTCTGACCTTTGTCATGTTGCTCATCCTTATTCAACTCTGAGCGTTAGTTTTCAACAGACTCTCTAGGAAGGGGATAAAGAAGAAAAAAGGGTTTTCCTCTCAGTTCAAACATGGGGTTTAAAACTGAAATGAAGGGAACTTGTGTGCCAAGACTAATTTGTATGATGGGTCAGGCTCATCAGACACAGAGGGAGGTGTCCATGTTTTACATATTTGCCATTCCAGCTGCCAACTCCGGACTTTTGAGTGACGTCTTGCCACGGCAGCCCTTCTCATTCCTCCCCCCGTCTCTCCCCTCAGGTCTTCTCCAAACTCTTCGAGGTGGCCCGGAGCCGCGTCCCGCTGACCAGCCTGATCCCCGCGCCGCGGCCCCGGCTCGCCTCCAACAACAATGTCAAGAAGAAAAACTAGCAGCCCGCCGGCTTTCGTCTGTCCCCTCTCGCCTCCCGACTGGCCGCGGACCAGTTTGAGAAACACACACAAAGGATTTCTTTTTAACTTAAATCGTCACTGTAGATAATGGTTCCTTGCTGTGCGGGCTTTACGATCCGGATGAAGCGGTTTGAAGCATCTGAACCCTCCGACCGGGTGGGGGGTGCAGGCGTTTGCTGGTCGGAGGCCCCACCGGTCAGTACTGGTTCCCCAGGTTTGTGATCTGTCGAATGATGTCTCCACAGTGATTCCATTTATGTGAATGTATAGTTGAAGAGCATGACACAAGCCCCCCCCCCTCCCAACCCAACCATTACGTTTGCCCTCTGTTCTCCACCTCCATTTCAGTTGCTGGGCAACAAAGAGGAGTTGCAACCAAAGTTTACAGCTTTATTTGTAGACACTCTCAGGCTGGCAGATGGATAGGAAAAGGTTTAATGGGGCTAATTCCCGGGCAAATTTTTGGGACGTTTCGCCACAAGCGCCGGGGTCCTCTCGCCGTGCCAGGAAATGGAAACGAAATGCCAAATTTCACCCTTCCTTGCTGGGATAGTTTAGGTATTGTTGGAAGGAGGCACGCTGGTTCAGAGCTGTCCAGCCGGCTGGTGGCCGACTCCCCCTCCTGTGGTTCCTCGACGTATTAATGGTTCCTTATGATCAGAGCTTATTCTGTAAAAAAACAGTGTTTGGCACTTCTTCTACCACTGCTTGGTTCTGCCCCCCCCTCCTCTCCCCGCTCGTCGGCTTTCCCCCCTCCTCTCGGCTTCTGTCAGACAGCAGGTTGTGGGATCTGAGCTTCACCGGCGGCCGAGTGGGGACGGTTTCCACAGCCCGGGCGAAGAGACTTCCCCCAAAAAGCGCTCGTTCTTAAGCTTTCACAGTGTCCGTCTCCTGGAAAACGGAGCTGAGGTTTAAAGAAACGGCTCCACGTTGGTGATACAACCAACTCCGTTTCCAGCTCATTTTATAGCACTTCCTCTTCTTTTTATTTTTTATTTTTTTAAACCATCGTGATAGCCTTAAAAATGTGTTGCTTTTTAACTTCCTTTCTTCTGGGAACACGGTTGTCTCAAAGGGAGAGGTCGACCGGAAGGCGGAACCGTCCAACGCCGTCCTCCTGCTGGGGGGGGGGGGGCTCGGCCGGGCGTCTGGCACACATGGAACCTGACCAACATGTCGGAGGACAGATGGCTTTCATTTCTCTCCTCCGGTTCAGCCGAGGTGACCGTGATTTCAATTCTATATATTTTTTATTTTTTTTTAAATCTATTTATTTTTCTTTTAACCCCAGCGTGGGCGTTGCTTCTCTTGCTGTTAAAAGCATCCGAACGCTTAATAAAACGCTTAAAAAGCTAAGTGAAAACTCCCGAATCCCTTAAGCTCCGCGTCGTCATCTGTGATGACACGGGCAGTTTGTTCCAGCTCAGTGGGTCAGAGGTCACCGCGTTTTTACTGAATCAGGCTTTTTTTATTTTTATTTTTTTTCTCGCCACCATTCCATCCACAGCGTCGCCTCGGTGTGCTCTTTGTTTTTGTACAGTTTTAGACTTTTCCTTCTTTTTACAGCCTCATCTACACTCTGGACACGTGTATGAAATCTATACATATATAAATAAACTTTTCTAGACCTTTTTTGTAGCTGGAAGAACAACAGTTGGGTGGTAGACCAGTTTCAGCTCACTGGATGTAAAGGAATGCTTTTGTGATTTTTGTGTATATGTCTAAATAAATTCCTTTTTTATATATATCTATATATATATTTGTAAATTTAATCTTACATGAGCACTGCTATTCCACCTTCTGCTGGCAAAGAATGTTTATAATCTGATCTTTTCCCCCCCTCACTCTCTCTCTGCTGTTGCATTTTAAAGTTGTTTTCATTAATTTATTTTTCAATACAATATTAAACAAAACTCTTACAACACACAGTGCTCTCCTTTTTTATTATTATTTTTTTTTAAGTGGCTTTCCTCTTTTTTATGAGGAGGCCGAGAGCTTAAAATTATTTATTTATTCATTTTTTTTTGCACTGCTGACTCTCAAAGAGAAAGCGGAGATTCCACAAGATGGCAGTGGACCTGGATGGCTGGAGGTCCAGACGTCCAGCAGAGAGTGGCGTGGCAGCTCTGGACCACAGGCACCAGCTCTGAACTCTGCTCAGCCATCAAAACCAGAGCGTTTTCAGAGTGAGAAGGAAGATTTAGCATTTAAACATTTCTTGTTTTTCTGATTTAGTTTTTTTGTGCAGTTTGTCCATCTGCCAGATGGACAAAGCCCTAAAGAGCACAGTGGAAAGCCAGGCAGTGCCACACTTTCATGCATCATGACAGTTTTTCCTGATCTCACTCTGATATTTGAACATCTGGATTCTGGTTGGAACCAAACAGGCTGCGAAGGCCTCGCTTTCTTCCCCATCAGTACACATGAATGGATGTAGGCTGACTAACCCAGCTGCCCTAAAAAGTGGCTACATTTATTTTGTGGTCCGTCCATGGCTCTGTGGCCTGCTCAGGCTGACCAGTCTGGCATCTCTGGAGTGTTCAGAATGTAGAAGTAAGACGGGGATCTTTAACATATCTCTGTAATTGGATCAAACTATGTGGACTTTGGTTGGTGTGGAAACCAGGAAATGGAAGAATTCTGCAGATGTTCAGATCCCATCCTGGGGGATGGGGGGGGGGGGGGGGGGGGTTTGTGAGGCAGCTAAGGATGCTGGGATATTGGAGGATGACGCAGATGAAGGGGGATGACGAGGAGGAGGGGCCCTGGCGTCCTTTTTTTATTTTTTTTTATGTCAACCTCCGCAGTGCTGCTGTTTGACCTGGTAAACCGCTGGATGCTGCAGGACGGGTCTCTACTTTTCCACCCCTGTCCCCGCCTGGATGTCCATGCGGCTCTCCCTCCCGCAGCGACGCACACGTTAGGCCCCTCCAGAGCCACCGCCCCGGCCTCCACCCCCAGCCGGCGGACCCTCCCCTCCAACCGGCAAAGTCTCTCCCTTAGCCGGCGAACCCTCCTCCCCAGCCGGCGGAACCTCTCCCTTAGCCCGGGGAGCCTCTCCCTTAACCGGCGAAGCCTCTTCCTTAGCCGGCGGAACCTCCTCCCTTAGCCGGCGAAGCTTCTTCCTTAGCCGGCGGAGCCTCTCTTTTAGCCGGCCGAGCCTTTTCCCACAGCCGGCGAAGCCGCTTCCCTTAACCGGCGGAGCCTCTTCTCTTAGCCGGCAAAGCCTCTCCCTTAACCGGCGGAGCCTCTCCCTTAGCCTGCGGAGCCTCCTCCCTTAGCCGGCGGAGCCTCTCCTTTAGCCGGCTAACCCTCCTCCCAAGCCGGCGGAACCTCTGCCTCAGCCCGCGGAGCCTCTCCCCAGCCGGCTTAGCCTCTCTCCCTTAGCCGGCGAAGCCTCTTCATTAACCGGCAGAGCCTCTCCCTTAGCCGGCGAAACCTCTTCCCCCAGCGGGCCGAGTCTCTCCCTTAGCCGGCGAAGCCTCTCCCTTAACCGGCGGAGCCTCTTCCCTTAGCCGGTCGAGCCTCTTCCCTTAGCCGGCCGAGCCTCCTCCCTTAGCCGGCAGGGCCTCTCTCCCAGCCCGCGGAGCCTCCAGCTGACCGGCGCTGAGGTGGCCTGCTTCCGGGGACAGATGCTGTAGCCCGGAGCCCGCCGGCACAGGGAGATGCTTCTCCCGGCCTGAAGGCAGCAGAGAGCCGGAGGGAAGCAGGACGATGTCCGGCAGGATGCCGCTGACCCCCGTGAGCGAGTCTGAGCAGGTACTTCCTTCTACCAATAATTATAAGCTTTTAGTCGGAATTTACGAAAGGAATGCAACAGTTTTTTTTTTTGTTAGTCTTAGTTTTTTCTTCTGTGTAATCACTTGTCTTGTAAACGTGTTGCTGATGCTGTGATAAGTTTCCTTTACTATTATTGTGTGTGTGACCTCTGTGTCAGTCCTTTAGAAGACAGAACACTCTCTGTGGATTGAGGTTATTGTATTTTTGTCAGTTGAACACAATTGATCATCAATATACTTCTATTTACACTAGATTATAGCACTTTTGTAGTTTCTATTCTATGTGATTCTAATATTGATCAAGTTAAAGGGAAGCATACCTATATTGGAATAAAGGAAGCCAGTGGCTGGTCAATTGTTTCTGGAAAGTGTAACATGTGAACAGTCTGAAACAGAGATGTCCACTAAAGCCATGCCAGGCCTGAGTTGTTGATTCTGATGGGGGTAACCGGGGCATTAACCTTGAAGGGGGTAAAATCACAACTTCAAACGGGGCACGACGAAGCAGCCATATCCATAAATGTTTTATGTACATACGTCCTCCCGTTTGCGTCAGCCATGTTTCTCTGCTCAGAACCAGGATCTATTAGCGGCTCTATCCTTTCCTCAACCCGCAGATGAGTAAGTACTTTGTATCTGCCACGTTTAAGGCGGGGTTTGCAGCTCTGGACACTTCCGATTCCTCACGTCTCCTCTCCTCACGTTGTTTTTCAGTCATCACTAAAGCGTCACGTGCTTTGTTAGCTTCACAAATAAGATCCGTGGCCTTTTATGCATTGTCAGCGTTTTCTAGAGTGGATCTGATGGATCTGCCCAGACCTCCTGGAGGCCTGAAGGCTCCTGTATGGGATTGTGTTTATGTCTATGCATGTAGCAGACGCTTTTATCCAAAGCCACTTACAAAGTAGACACAATTTGACAGTTATCAATCTGACAAAAAGCTCTCTAGAGGAAAATCCCCAGTCGGAATCAGTGGTGACAGCAAACAGAGATAGAGGGAAGTGCAAACAGAGTGGTAGAGGGGGTACAGAGGTATGGGTGAGAGCTAGGATAGGAGATGCTTTTTAAAGAGGTGGGTCTTTAAGAGTTTTCCTAAAGATAGACGGGGACGCTGCTGTTCTTGTGGCGCCTGGTAGGTCGTTCCACCATCTTGGAACATTTGAAAACAGTCTGGATTGTCTTAAGCTTGAGTTGGATGCAGGCAGCCAGGGGTAACCGGGGGTAACCAGTGAAGCTAAATGAACAGAGGGGTGGCGTGGGTAGCATGTTGGGTTAGGTATGGCCAGATTGTGGATTTGCAGTCATTTGATCAAGCCTCCATCGTCCTAAAATCTACATTTAAGGCCAAAGAAAACAAGCGAGGTGTCAATTTTTGGAGCTTTCGTTCTGTTTGACCTCCCGGTGCTGTGGCAGTTCACCTCACAGCTTCCGTTCACAAACAAGGTGATCCGTCCCATTTGCAGATGACGGGATGCACGCTAATACCGTTACATCACCCGCTCTAACGGTCGCATCTGTTCGACCCGACCTGCAGGGGAGGGACCACAGCCCGGGTTCAGTATCTGCCCCCAAAGACTCTGTGGCGTGTAGACACATTAAAGGGCCACATCCAGAGCCACAGCTGAGCCGTGAATCAAACGAAGAGGATACGCAATAAAAAAAATCAGACACAGCTACAGGACAAGCTTAGTCATCTGCTATCAAAATATGCTTAGTAGAAGTAGCTGAGTTGTTTTAGAAATTAAAAAACACACACCGTTGGCAGTTCACAACACAGTTTGACCAAAGTGGGCCTTATTGACTGATATTACGGGAAGCACAAATGTCAAATCCTTCCGGAAAGAGGTTTGGATCCGAGAGGCCCCCTTTTCAGACATCAGAAAAACAAAATAAAGATTATAAGAAATATAACCTGGCTTTACTCAGTATTTTATGCAGGAAGAAAAGGATTTAATGCAACGTCCAAAGCAGGGTTTCCTCTTTTTGAGAGGAACCAGAAATCGAGTCGGTACTTTAAACGCCTCGTCGGCCTCTCGTCTAATGGGGCTTTTCCATTAGTACCTACTCGGCCTTTCTCTGTTTCACGGTTTTCCTCTATAAGTGAGGTCCTATCGGAAAGACGGGCCGATTTAGTTCAGAATAAACTCCATAAGAGTAGTTTGTAAGGTGCCCTCATTTGTGTCCGAAGGAACATGATAATGGAGGAATGACAATGACGGAAACTAGGAAATCAGACATTCGCCGTGTTTCTAAACTGGTGGGGGGGGGGGCACCAAGACCCATCAAGTCTTGACTTCTTTTGTACACACTTCTAGTTTGTTTACTAAGAATCTTTTCATCAGGTGGCGGATATGAATCTGACTTAGCAGGCCTTCAGTGATTCGACATCAGACACCCACAGCGTTGCGTTCAGGGTCGGTAGAGGGCCTGGGAGGCCGACAAGCCCTGGACAGGCCAGGCCCTCGCTTCTCTGGCCCTCTGTGTTCCTTGTTGCTCTTTCCGCCGTCTTGTCACGGATCCGAAACGCTCATATTGTGTTTACGCATCTCGGGCGCTCGCGTGAAGAGGGGTCTTTGAATGCGGCGCAGGCTGCTGAGCCTGGGAGGAATGCTGGGAAAAGGCAGCCCTCCGCATTGTCATGCTAATGCAGGAATGCCAGCAGCAGACTTCTCATCACTCATTTTAGACCTCCAAAGTCTTCGAAACTCATTTGTGAAGTCCCTCCGATTGGAACCTGTTAGCCATTGGATACTTCAGAATTAGATGTTTTCAGTGAAACAGCATTATGATAGTAATTAAACTTGAGGATCGAACTCAGCGTAAAAGATTCTGTTTCTGCCCACCGCCCGTCCTCTCTCCCCTCAGAACCAGCAGAGCTTTGGTTACCTTTAACTTTTCCGTCTGCCTCACAGCTGGCTCCTACTGTCTGTTCGCTATTGATCGTTCCCAAAATACACAGCAAAGGTGGACTCTGCGGAGGATGCCGATCTGTATTAGCGTCAGTTTTCTGGAAGTCACATTCCGAATTTTCTGACGTGTCGGGACAGATGCTGAGGAACTTTTAGTTGTATTTTATTTTATTTCTGATGTGTCTGAACCTCCATTTTCCAGTTCCTCTGTCAGAATTCAGACCTGTGAGTGGAGAACAAAAACATCTACCTCTGCAACCGCTTCCCACTATTTGTTCTTCTTTTATAATGTGATATCGCATTGTTGCATAGTAGATGGCAGATGTAAAAAAGCTTTATTTAACAGCTCAGACATTTGAGCTTTGATACTTTGCAATAAATGGCACGTGATGAGAATTATGTGTCACCTTTCCCATCAATCAGCTGGAGACAAACAGGCACAGTGAGATGGAAACACCCATTTTTGTACACACTAAAAATGGCCTGCTGGACATCTGTTTGTCCAGCTGTTTGTGGACATGTGTATCGACAAGGTTCTACAGAATGTTGTGTATATATATATATATATATACACACACACACACGCACATATATATATATGCTGTTGTATATCTGGAATTACTAACCAAATCCTTGGTAACAAAATTATGAACAAAAATCATTTCTGATTCTGATAGCTGTACATACAGCAAGAAATAGTTTCTGTCTGTCAGACTTGTTAAAGGCATAGCATTATTCTGCTTTTTAAAACACGAAATCCAAATGTCAGTGGGTTCTCTGTCCTCGTATCCTTATGGTATCCCAGCTGAGGAAGCCTCTGGCTGAAGGAACTTTGTTCAGAGTGTCGTATGAGAGTGTTGCTCTGAGGCAATGTTGTGTTGCTCGCTCTGAGGCCTTTCTAATGGACTCCTGGGGCTCCTTAGTACTTCTCTGATGGAGAATCAGCCTTTTTCAGCAGCCTCTTTGTCTCCCGGGGTTTGGGGCTGCCAACCTAAGATATGCTCTGCAAAGATAATCACACGATCCTTCAGAGTTGGAGGAATTGCTGCTTATTATTAGGAACATTATGCCTAATACCAACACATCTTAATAACAAAACCAAACGACGAATACAAAAAAAATGTGAAATAAGTCCATAGAAAATTATGAATAACTCTAAAATAATTGATGAACGTATTATAGCTCTTTACCTTTATTTGCACAGAGGTGGGCAAACTCCTGGAAAAACTAGATGTTCAACAGCCAGAAAGTTGTTTTTTTTTACCTGTCAGGGAGGAGAAGAAACTCCTCCAGCTTTTGGGACTGGTTTGTGTCAGCTCCACTGCCTCCAACAGCCAGCAGCCAGCGACGGATACTGTCATTTTCCAGAAGGGACACCCACCAAAGGGGGGCTATCTGTGTCGAGAATTAAAGGGGAAGGGCTGAAAGTCCGCCTAGTTGATGGACTTTTCCACATATGTGGATTTATTCAAACTTTGAGCTAATAATCTGCAGCTCTACATGAATAACTTTCGATGCAAAATGGAAGATATAGATTTTTCGTAGCGGCTCATCTGATTGTTGGTCGCTCAGATACTCGTTAAGTTTGTGCCGGTCAGGCTGAGACCGGATGGGATTGGACGCGTAATCTTTCAGAGCCTCAATCGTTCAGGTGACTAGGGTTGAAACGGCCACTCTTGTCGTTACGCACACCTGAACGTGTCTCAGAGAATTGGAGGTTGCACCTCTGTTTTGCCACAAATGGCTCACGTAATTAGGGGGTCCCCGCTCCATCTCGCCATCAGTTTGGGGGTCCTTGGCCCGGAAAAAGACCCATAGTTGTAAATAAAGCAGGGGACTCGTTTACCCCCAACCGGCCGAGGCAGATGGCCGCCCACCCTGAGCCATGGTTCTGCTCGAGGTTTCTGCCTGTTAAAAGGAAGTTTTTCCTTGCCTGTGTCGCCTAGTGCTTGCTCATGGTGGGAATTGTTGGGTATCTGTAATTAACTTCAGAGTAGGGTCTGACCTGCTCTGTTTGGAAAGCGCTGTGAGATAACTTTCGTTGTGATGTGGCGCTAATGACCACCGTGGATCTGTTTCTGATTTCTCTTGAAGCCAAAGTCCTCCGACGGCCCCCCGGAGCCGCCGGCCCCGCCCGTTAAGTCCTCCAGCCGCCACGGCCTGGCCCCCGGGCGCAGCTCGGCCGCGGCGGCCCCGGACGAGCAGCCCCATGTCGGCAACTACCGACTCCTGAAGACCATCGGCAAGGGCAACTTCGCCAAAGTCAAACTGGCCAAACACCTCCTGACCGGCAGAGAGGTGAGAACCCCACCGGGCTCAGTCAGCAGGGCAAACACAACCAGGGTGGTTTTACACGTGCAACACATCATTTTAAAGACCTTCTTTTGCTTGAAATAAGATGTCTACACATAAACAGCTAAGTAAAGGAGGCTGCCATATATTATATATTCAAGTACAAATGTTAAATCCATGTTTAGAAAGAGATAATGGCATCAAATGATTTTAAACATATCATCAAGGCAACTAGAAATATTGGAAAATCTCTCCCTTTCTCTCTATTATGTATATAAATATTTCATTTTTGTTTTCTGTACGGTGCCCTTGAGTGTCAAGAAAGGCGCCTTCAATTAAAATATATTATTATTATTATTATTAATGTTAATGTTAAGAAAGTAAAAGCATTCTCAGTAAGAAAACAGTTTGATAGTAGAACGTTTAGCTTAGAATAAACTCCATGAGAGTAGTTTTTAGGGTAATATTGAATTGAGAAAAAGTCCAACTGATTACGGCCTCCATCCAACAGAAAAGCTTTGGGAAGCTGAAATCTGCAAAAAGAACTCCTGCAAACTGAGGGCCAGTGCACATGTAGACGTTTCTACGTTTTTTAGGTTGACCCAAAGAACACAAGAACTATGTCTGGGGTACATTTATGTTCAATGATGTACAGGAGCTTTAACTCTCCGTCCATTTTATGGGCTGCTCCATCTTTCTGGAGAAATCAAATATCAGATATATGAGTAAGAGCGACGCTGAGACTACAGAGACAGGTAGACGGAGGAAGAAGAGAAAGGAAGTAAACAAACAAAGAGGAATGACGAGAGAGAAAAGTTCAAGAGAAACACAAAAAGTGAGAAATAAACAAGACCTAAAAGTGGTCATAGGAGGCTTGGAAAAACAAATCAGCAAATGTCTTTGTGTTTGAAATGCACTTCTCTGCATGCTGATGTTGATTTCAGCCTCATTGATCGTCTTTAAAGTGGTTCCTTGGCCTCAGGCCTGAGCAGAGCCTTGTGTTTTAATCCTGCCGATGCCTCCTGTTGACTCAGTGGAGCTTTAAACCCTCTATTTGTTCTTATGTGGCCTGTTGTTGGCCTAAAGGTCTGGATTTACCACAGTACTGCCAAACCTGGCACGTTTTGTGGGATTAAAAAGTTTTGGTTTCATCAACCCGTCACAATACCAGAGGTTTGCTTTCAGAAAACCTTGGAGGCTCACTTTTTCACATTCACAGACGGTTATTATTTGCCATGAACAGTGATTAAGAAATGTTCTAAACCACCATCCAGTGAAAGGTTTTGGAGAAAAAAAACTATTTAACCTCTGTAGGGGGATTCAGATGGTCATTAAGCTCAGAATTGAAACTTTTGCAATACCTGTGTATAGAATAAATTAATGGGAGAAGAACAGAGAGCAGTCACTGCTCCAAACGCTGACCACAGTGGTATTTATTCATCAAGATGCCAATTTTTATTCATTCGCTCGCATTCCTGACCAGGCAAGAGTTTTAGTGTTAGTGGTTTAATGTTCTGCTCGATGCATTTCTGCCTTATCGGAGTGAGTTGGCTGAAATCTGGAGAAAAAACTGGAATAGGCTTTGAAATCAGAAAAAGAGCAGAGATGAAGTTTAAACTGATTCTGAGATTAAAAGAGGAGAAAAACAAGCAGAGAAAAAATTGAGGCTTTTGTCAAAAGCAGAGAGATGAAGTTTAAACTGATTCTGAGAGGAAAAAAGAGCATTTACCTCTTCATATATTAACATATAATATGAATACTTTTAGTTTTACTCAGGTTTGTCAAAGATTTCTTAAAATAAATAAAAAAAAATGTCTGTTGTGATTAATTTGTAATCAATAGAATTTTCTGCATAAAATGTCATCTAAAATAAGACTCATTGGACAAAAAAAACTATGTTTTCTGGATGAATTTAAATGCAGCCCAGCTCAAGCTGAATGCTGACTCGACTGATTCTGCTTCCACTTGCAGGTTGCCATCAAGATCATTGATAAAACTCAGCTCAACCCCACTAGCCTGCAGAAGGTATGTAGCTTTGCTCCGTCTGAGCTACCTCTACATCTAAAATATCCCGATGTCGGCTTTATTTCAAACGTGTTTACGATTCAGTTTGCTGACTCAAACTATTTTCTCTCCAGCTCTTCCGAGAAGTTAGCGTGATGAAGATCCTCAATCATCCGAATATCGGTGAGTTCCTCCGTCCTCCTCCTGTTCTTTCTTGATCCAAACTGAACTGGACCTGGTCCCCCCGCTACTGGACGCCCACCCGGTGCCGGAAAACAAGCATTCTATTGGCTCTGACCTGGCTCTGTTTTTTTTGTTTTCTTTTCTCAGTGAAGCTGTTCGAGGTGATCGAAACGGAGAAGACTCTGTATCTGGTGATGGAGTACGCCAGCGGAGGTGAGAGAAAACCGTGTCCCGGGGCAGCATTATGATGACTAGGCATATCTCACAGCCCCCCCACCCCACCCCGAGGTTCACTGTATGTCCCCAGATCTCTCTTCCAGGGATCAGAGCTTTAGACGAAGTCCTTTGGAGAATCCGTTTGCCGTCCAGGTGTGTGTGTGTGTGTGTCACAGCTGGATGGAAACTGGAAACTGTCTGCTTGTGTTTCAGGGGAAGTCTTTGACTACCTGGTGGCTCATGGACGAATGAAGGAGAAGGAGGCTCGAGCCAAGTTCCGCCAGGTGAGGCCGGTGCCGGATCCTTCGTGTGGAGGGTCCCAATCCACGCTGGTCCGCTGGTTTAGGGAGCTTTTAGAATGATTCTCCAAGAACTTCTCAAATCTGGAAATGTGTTAAACATTCAGATGCGGTCAGACTTTACGTTTCGGCCACAAGACTTCTTGATATTTCAACCAATGAAACAACTAAATCTTTATCACATAAATTAGAATGATTTAAAAGCACACTGACAGCTTGAGGTGACTTTTTGGACATGTTAATCTGTCTGGGTCTACTTATTTCAACAACATTATTACAACCATATATCAGAAAGAACATTTTCAAGTGAGCAGCTTTTTGAGGCATTAGAAAAGGCCCAGTGAAAACCTGTCACCTGGTACAGTATCTGTCCCCGGCAACCAGGCTGTCCATGTTAAGTTTGACTTTTCAAAAGAAAAGCGGGGTAAAAAAGCCAGATTTAGACAGATTTAGATGTATTTTGACAATTCCAGATAAATTCTCAGCGCCAGTGAATGCTTAAGGATGCGTGTATACTAAACTACAACCAGGTGTCGGACTGGAAATTAGGCTCTTTGTCACACATAATGCAAGCAGACAGAAAGATTCAAAGACGTGAATGAAAGCAGTTTTATAGGATTCAAATGTAGTCATGTACAATGACACTTCACTCTTATTAAAGATGTTCCAAATCAAACTGGATCATTTATGGGGCACTTGGCCAGTTTGTGTGGTTTCATCCCTATTTGCATCACAGTGGTGTGTGTAGGCCCTTTTTTTTTGGTTTTTAGCTCAGAGCAGACAGTGCTATTTGCTGAGAGGGAGAGCATAGTTTCAGTTGCTGCTTTCTGCGATGTATTTAACAGTTTGTTTAATCCTCTGTCTCCCTCAGTAACACCCTACCGCTGCGCTGTGCAATAAACCGGCCAATGCAGCTTAAATTCACGTTTATACGCTTTCAATCTTCTTTTTAACACCAGTGTGAAGGATTTTTAGTTCTCGTATTCTGACTTCCTGACATGCACATGCCGGTCTTATTCATCTGGCCCTTGATGCACTAACTGGAAAAACCACTATCCATTCTTTATGTAGAGACCAGACCACAAATCTCCACAGGATGAAGCAGCCTGGATTAGCACAACCACTAATAGAGTAGTTAACAGAACCACAGACACATATGATGAAGCCACTTCCTGCTATCAACTTTCCCCCCTTTAGCTCCGTGTTTTGTCATTTAGTTAAGGGTTGCTGGAGCTTTTTGTTGAATCTCTTATTGCTGGATCTCAACGCAGTGGGTCAGAGTTTGAGATAGTTGGCTGTAAGGTCCAGAGGCTACTTTTGACTCTCTTTTTTCCTTGTTTCTGTCAGATTGTGTCAGCAGTGGAGTACTGTCACCAGAAGAGGATTGTTCACCGTGACCTCAAGGTAGAAAAGCAAACACCTTACAGGGTCGGCGGGGTGAAATCACTGCATGCTCCTCTTGATGGTTTTCTATTCAAGAATCCAGGCCACTCCATTCTGCACCCACAAGTTATTTTAGAAAATAGATTTCACCTGTCTCTTCCTTGAGTTTACCCGGGACCAGTTTTTAATTCTGGTCCAAACTGGATCTTAAAAGTTCTCAAAAATAATTCTCTTATTTTCTAATTCCCGGTAGTATTTCTTTTTTTTAATTCACCCCACAGTTTGAGGCAACCTCCTTTATTTGGTTAGGTGACCCCTCCTTTTGCCAGAATTTGATCTATTGTATTATTATGATCTAATATCCAAGCTGTTTTGTGTTTATGTAAAAATCAAACATACATACATTAACACGTTATAGAACTACCAACCCTACAGCACAAATAGAACTGCGTCCTCAGATAAATGTTACGGCATGAAACTACCATCATAATCTAGGTTCAGACGAATAGAAAAACACTTCTTTTTTCCTTTTAATCAACTGATTAGTCATTGTGAATCCCATCATCCAAACCAGAACAGCATTATTGAATTAGTTTCAGAGTACATGTCTTCTGTCCTTCATAACTTGAACGCTTTAAATGAAAAACATTTGACCAAAATAAATCTTAAATGGATATTTTTCCTCCTATATGGAAGTTTAAACAAAGACCTCTAAAAAAGGAGACTAAACTGGGATCTAAACATAGATATAAATGGATAAATGTGGACATATATAGACAGAAAAACAAACAAATATAAAGATGAATCAGAACAAACTTCTCATTTGGTTCTTATAGGTTTTTTCAAAAGATTGTGTTCCCAACGTTCTGTTATATGGTAGTTAAATACCGTAACATAATAAGTAGGTTTCCGCCTAAAACTTTAGGAGGGAGTGTCTCTTTACCCAATAGCAGCTGGATTAGACTCCCCGGACCGGAACAAGTGGCGTTATCATTCGCACAAATGAACTTTTAATCATTTAAAGTGGAAATTCTCAGAAAATTCCTCCAATGTATAATTTCTCTTAGGCCCACAGTACACACTCGTGTTGGCCCACCGTGTTTTACGCCTCTGTTTCTTTCTAAGGCAGAGAACCTCCTTCTTGACGCTGACATGAACATTAAAATTGCAGACTTCGGCTTCAGTAATGAGTTCACTCTGGGCAGTAAGTTGGATACTTTCTGCGGCTCTCCTCCGTACGCTGCCCCGGAGCTCTTCCAGGTGAACGCCGAGCCCCCCCCCCGCCGCCTCCTTTACGGCCGAAAAAAGGCCGCAGAGCGACACGAAAAAATCGCCAAGCGTTTGGCTTTCCTGTAAAGTGGCTTTGTAACCCCCCGCAGGGGAAGAAATACGACGGGCCGGAGGTAGATGTCTGGAGTCTGGGTGTGATCCTCTACACGCTGGTTAGCGGTTCCCTGCCCTTCGACGGACAAAATCTCAAGGTTTGAGCCCACCGCCAGAGATAAATAAATAAATAGATAAATAAATAAGTTGGTCCCATGTGTGACTGTACAGTCATGCCACAGCTGGATGTTTTTTAAATTGTTATCATTATTATTATTATTATTATTTTTAAAGTGCAGGAAAGATGGTGTTTGTACCATGTGTGTGTACTTGTTTTTTTCTGTTTTTTTTCTTCTTTTTTTTCAATTAATGCAATTGCGGATTACAGATTACAGCCGTGCTGGATAAAAGCATCCATCCGCCCATTTGCTACTCCCACTTTCAATAATTGCACTGTGAATAATTTTCACTCTCCCGTCACATGGACAGAACGATCGTGAGAGCAGAGTTGGAAAAAAAAAACATTTTTGTTCACCAGAGGATGTATGAAAGAGTCTTATAAGACCAAAAGAAAAGACTAAAACTTACCATCCCCTAACTGCAGTGGGGCATGAGGGATGTAGCATCATGATGCGGGCATATGTTTAATTTTCAGGGATTTGGAAATTCAGTGTGTTGTTCCTTTGGCAACTTTTCTGCCAAATTTTGTGTGACATCAAATAGAAATAATTTTCCATAAAACAGCAAAATATCCCTGAAAAAATGTTATACTCTTTACTATCATTGATTCGTATTATTGTGTTCTGTTTTAATGAAAATTTCATAAAACTTATGAACATTAAAAACACTTCTAGTGGAATGTGTCCATAACGTTCCCCTCTTTTTGAGTCAGTGGCATTAAAAAGACGCACATTCGCAGCTATTTTTGTTCTCCTCGGGTGCATTTAAAGGGCAGGCCTCCAAAAACGGCGCGTTCAAAAACACCAAAATGAGGTCATTTGAAAAATAAAAAAATCGTTACACTGACGTAAGTGTGTGTGTGTGTGTGTCTGTGTGTGCGCAGGAACTGAGGGAACGTGTTCTTAGAGGAAAGTATCGGATTCCCTTCTACATGTCGACCGACTGTGAAAACCTGCTGAAGAAGCTGCTGGTTCTGAACCCGGGAAAACGTGGAAGCTTAAAGGTAACACCCCTGTCGCTTTGGGAAATAAAGCCGACAACCTACAATCCTTTTAGATATCTTCATCAAACGATCATTTACGGGATGACTGGCCCTCCCTAATATAATGATAAATCAATGTGAGCACCGTCCAGTTTGCGGATGTTCTGTAAAGCAGCTGTTTTTACTTTTTTTTTTTTTTTTTTTACTCTGACCTCCTCTAAGTTGTCTTTCTTGGAAGGATTAAACTATTCCTGTTTGTTTCCCAGCAAATCATGAAGGACCGATGGATGAACGCAGGCTACGAGGGAGAGGAGCTGAAGCCATTCTCTGAACCGGAACAGGACCTCAGTGACCTCAAACGCATCGGTCAGACTCAGAACAGATTTCTCACATCCATTCGGTAGAACTGTGGTTACTGTTTTAGCCTCTCATACATAGCTGTTTAAATTCCCTTTAATGAGGCTGGTTTAATCTATAGCAGACACATGTTGTCGGCCAACGATCATGTTTTATTTTCATACCAGCTATTAAAGAGATATGTAATTTTGTCCAGATTTCTATGTTTGTATCAGGATCCATATGGATCGTTCATCAAAAATAATTCTGGTCATTTCTAAGATCTGGTCATTAGTATAAAGGCTGTGGCCTTACAAGGCACCATGTGTCCTGGATTGTCTGATACTGTGTGTAATCCAGTGGTTTGAATCATGCTGCTTTCGGTCTTTCAGTCAAACTCAGCCATCAATATTTTGGTATTTGAGAAGCCAAACATGAATAACGAGAAGTAGATTTTTTTAAATCCATATTAAATTAAATTATTAACCTAACATTTGGCCTATTTTGTAATTATGTGGTAGTGTTGGTGCTTATTTGTAAATCATATTGCTGTATTCACTGATTTATTTAGACTATTATTTATGTCTTTGACTCAAAGCGGAGTGTTCTGTGTGTTGTTGGACTAATCAGAGCTGATGGCAGCGATGGGCTTTTCTCAGGAAGAAGTAAGGAAGGCGCTCGACGGGCAGAAATACAACGAAGCCACAGCAACTTATCTGCTATTAGGGAGAAAATCTGCCGAGGTATAAAATATTCCCTTTTTTTTTTTTGCTTCCGAATCCGGTCTCTGAGAATCATCAGCATGTGTCATTCAGATGTAGTTTGCCTAGTTTGAGAAGCAAAAGGCAAGCAAAAAAAATTTAATAGAAGAGCTGTCTGAGTGTCATTTTGAACCCAGAATCTTTTGCTTCCTCTCCTCTAGGGTGAAATGTCTTTATCCAGCTCTAACCTGGTTCAGAGGTCCCGGCCGGTCAGCGACCTCGAAGGGTCCAGCCAGTCCCCCGCTCACCTTCGGAGCGTAGCTGGCACCCAGAAGCAGCGGCGTTTCAGTGACCACGGTCAGTCTGTGGGACTGGTGGGGGGCAGAGGGGGGTTCACATCCGATCAGGTCTCAGACCCCCTGTGTTTTGTGTCTCAGTGGCTCCCTCCATTCCGCCTCCCGTCTCCCACGCCAAGCGATCCCATGCCAACAGCGTGGAGAGCGAAAAGAAGCAGGAGCCGTCCTCACCCATGGGAGCTCCGGACCGCAGGAAGTCGGCCACAGCTTCAGGGGTAAAAAGGATTCAGATTTTGTCCCGATCTAACTCCACATAGAGCTCCTCCAGTGGGACGAGGACTATTCATTTACGCAAACAAGCTGGAATCCATTAGATAGATATGGCTCAAAGTAGGCTAACGCCATCCCTCTAACATGACGACATAATTTAGTCTTTAACAGAAGGATGTGATGGATGGTTTTATATGCAGCTCTGGGATCCAGCAGAAGCAGCGCATACATACAGTGGGGGAAATAAGTATTCGAACCTTTGCTAATTTTGCAGGTTTGCAAAGAATGCAACGATCTTTTAATCATACGTACATTCTAACAGTGAAAGACAGAATCCCAAAGAAAATTACAGAAAATCACATCATATGAATTTATTAAAATTGATAACCATCCGATGAGGAAAAATAAGCATTCTTTGTAAGTGGGCAAACCTGCAAAATCAGCAAGGGGTCAAATACTTATTTCCCCCACTGTATGTCCACTATCAGAGGCTCATAGGGGATCTTTGGTAACTGTCACCAGAGCTCTGAGACCTGACTGAAACACTGTTTTTGTGGAAATAGTGGTTACAACAGTCTTTTTCAGCAACTTCGTAGACCTTTAAAAGAGATGTGATTATAGTTTGATAATTAAAAAGTTTTTTTTAAAGCCAATGTTTGATTAGAGCAACTTTAAGAGCTTAAACACAGATCAGCCGTCACATCATGACCACTGACATTTCTCCACTTTGTCCAGCGCAAAGTGCAGTCTGGTAAAAATGCATCCTGGGACTTGCATGGAGTTCATTTTTCCACCTCCCAAAGCATTTCTGCAGGCCAGTCGCCATCGCAGCCATGTTGTTGGGTCCCACCGTTCCCCTCACCGCTAGCTTAGCAAGCTGGACAGGATGCTGTCCTGCAGGTTTTTGGAGGTTTCCCTGCTTCCACACGCCTGATTCACGTCCACACAACGCCAGCAGTCTGCTGCTGACCAGATGAATGTGACACAGAACACTGATTTATACACTAGATGTTTTCATCTCTCAAGTGGAGCCGCTTTTCATAATGATTTTAAATATTTAAAAAGAACTGCTTGTCAGATCTTGATGAAATTAGTCCAGTTACAAAGATCACACAGTTCCACCCATCTTGGGATTTTTTTTTAAATATAAATTTGATGAAAATTTTTGTATTTTAGTTTTGAAAAAATCTGTTTTGATGCAGCGTCTGATCCATTTATTCTGAAAATGCTTTGCAGCATCACCACAAAAACGGAAGAGAATTTCAAGCAAACATTTAGGCGTGAGATTAGCCATCCAGACTGGTGTCTACACCTTAGTTATTACTGCTTTCCTTTTATTCTTATGGAATGGATTTTTCTTTGAACGACTGATTTTAAAAAACGGTCTAAGAATTGAAAGTAATGATGTTTTCGTTTAACTCTACGGTCAGTAGGGGGCAGTAGAGTTACATTCCATCTGTCTGTCTGTGTTCCAGAGCATGACCCGAAGAAACACGTATGTTTATGAGAGAAACAATGCCGAGAGGCACTCGGGTGGGATTCCCAATGGAAAGGACAACAGGTGAGATGCATTTTTGATGGACAGCATTCTGCTTTTTCTCCAAATAGCAAATAGCTGATGTGCTTAAATGGGTTCCAGTTTGCCTGAGGTACCATCTGCATCCCCATCCCCGTCGCCCGGGGCAACCGTCTCCTCCGCCCGCCCTCGTCACGTGAAGTCCATGTCGGCTTCGGGACACCCCATGAAGTCCAGCCTGCCCCCCATCGACGACAACGTTGAGTATCAGAGGTGAGAGGTTCCGTTTCATTTCGTCGAAACGGCACCCGGCCGGTTTGTTTCCCGTCACCGTGGTGACGGCGTGCCCTCCTCCCGCCCCCCAAAGCTCCCCCCGCCAGGACCCGTCGTCGCCCTCGGCCTTCAGCGTGGCCAGCAGCACCAGCTCCACCACGCCGGACCGGGCCCGCTTCCCCCGGGGCTCCTCCAGCCGCTCCACCTTCCACGGGGGCCAAATCCGGGACCGCCGGACGGCCACCTACAACGGCCCCCCCGCCTCGCCCAGCCTGTCGCAGCACGCCGCCGCCGCCGCCGCCTCGCCCTACCGCGGCAACTCCACCTCCCTCATCGGCAAGCTCACCTCCAAGTTCTCCCGCAGGTCAGAATCGGTCGAGCTCCGTCTGACAACCCTGAGAAACCAGGAAAACCAGGACCTTTCTGCACACAGGGTTCTGGGTTATAGTCCCCAGGGGAACCAGGACTTTTTCTCCAACCTTATCTTTATTGGTTTTTTCAACAGTGTTTCCAACAATACACAAGGCACAAGTGTGCTCCCACATCAGAGGAAAGTCCAGGGTAGTTAAGTTAATGTCCAGTATTCAGCTTCTTTCCTTGCATGCCAGGTTTTTATAGTATATTTTAGAGCAGCACTTATTACATACAAAATATATGAGAAAAAGAAAACAAGAAAACAATATCCCTCACCCCAACCACCCTGAGAACAAACAACAAATACAACAATAACAACGGTTTCTCTATTTCCCAGGAGTTAGCCCAAATTACCAGCTTGGTGTTAAATGGCTACTTCTTATCAGATGTTAAAAACCTGGGTTAACCACAACAAACCAGACCTCATTGCTGGTCAGTGGCATATTTTTTTTTTGTAATTCCTGTGATTCTGTGATCTCCGTCCTGCAGGAGTTTCTCCGGGGAGCCCAAAGAGGAGGGCAGGGAGTCCAAGCCCCGCTCGCTGCGCTTCACGTGGAGCATGAAGACCACGTCGTCCATGGAGCCGGGGGACATGATGAGGGAGATCCGGAGGGTCCTGGACGCCAACAACTGTGACTACGAGCAGCGGGAGCGCTACATGCTGTTCTGCGTGCACGGCGACGCCCGCCAGGAGAGCCTGGTCCAGTGGGAGATGGAGGTGTGCAAACTGCCCCGCCTCTCGCTCAACGGCGTGCGTTTCAAGCGGATCTCCGGCACGTCTATAGCTTTTAAAAATATCGCCTCCAAAGTGGCCAATGAGCTCAGACTCTGAACAGAAGAGAGAGCCCCCCCCCTCTGCCCGTCTTCCTCTCAGAGTGGAACCCACTGGGCGATGGTTTCTGACTTGGGGTTCGGAACCGTTCCAGGGAAATTCGACCTAATAAAGATAACGCGATTACTATTTAACGCCGTCACGACATGTTAATGCAACTGAAGCCAAATAATAAAGTAGCCGGGCCTTCCCAGGTTGGGATTCCTCCTGAAAGTGGAATTTTTTTTTCTACAACCGGAGCAGATTCACCACTTCTAGTGTGGTCGGAGCGCCACTGTTCGGCGGCTTCTGACCCAAAAGTTGAACAGTTAAATAACAGAAAGAAAAATGATCTCATCCTATTTACGGCGTTGATGTGAAACTGTATGTGAGCTAATCACTGTTTTGCACCAGAGAGAGGCTTGTTTTTCCCATGACCCTGAGACACTTAAGATAATTCCGACAGATTCAGATAAGTGAGCGGCGAGTCGGGGATCTTGGTTAGAAATCAGTGTCGTGAACAGTCTGCAAAACATTACCACTGCTAAACATGTGCAGCTATTCAGCAAGTGCAATGAATCGAGTTAGAACAGGAAGCTGTGAATGGAGGCCCCCCTCAGCATCCCATATTTCATTTGTCCGTCCGTACACTTAGCTAGCTCTCTGACGCCCTGAAATTCATAAGTGGACAGAAAACCAGTCGGAAAAAAACCCCGATCTCAGTTCATATTAGCTTACCAAAGAGAGAATGTGCAATGTGGTGCCACTCCTGAGAGTGGAACAGCTGCTTTAGTCCACAGTTGTTCTACCATAAAGACTTAAACATTGTAAAAGGTTTTGAATATTCTGAAAGGATTATGACATCCCCAAATCTGCATTGCATACCATCACAAAATGTACCTTTTTAATAAGAGCTTCATGTTCCAACGATGCTTCTATGTTTGGGATAAAATGCAGACGTTCCGCTGGTCGGAGTGGCACCAGACTGGAATATAGGGAGGCATGGAGAAGTGGCACAATTTTGTTTTAGAAGGGAACAACCTACTTGGGGAAAAACTTTCATTATGAGTTCGTTCTGAGATTTTTTGGCATTCACACGTTCAAGGGAAAAAGGAAAAGGAGTGAATCTGTACCCGCTGAGACCTGAAATGGCCGGAGAGCGGGATGAATCTGGAAATCATTCGGAGGTTTAGTTGTAGGATTAAAGGAATATTCTGTGTTAGCTGGCTAGCTAGCTGTCCGTTAGTGTAAAAGTCTAACTGAGGGGGAAGTTAATTTGGTAATTACAGCTGGATGGCTTTAAATTAACCATTGTATGTACACAACTATAAATTATAACATAAATAATAGTGATGTAAGACAATAATTAACAGAAACCAACAGGACAGCTTATGTATTCTGTCATTTAGCTGCTCATAATGAATAATTTCTGACTGATAAATGTGATTCTTCGTAAGGCTCAGATCATTATTGATGTCTTCCAGTGTCTTCATACAGTCATGGCACCGTAACAAAACACACGCGTAAAGGTTGCTGAGCATGCTGAAGTACGATAAAAGGAAAAATGATATAAGCACTCACACTTGAAACATTTATAAGCAGCCAGTACAAAGTATGCCTTAGTTGTAACCGATTCTTTGTAATTGTGGGAAATCTCGTATACGTGAACCACTTTAAAGATGGAGGATGTGACCACAACTTTGCTGGCCAGCCACGATAGCCTAAAGTTTAATGCGCACCGCTGTGTTTTTTTAGTAATGTCGGGCACCAACAAGCTGTTTGGCTTCACTTTTGTTCGACCTGAAACTGCTGGTGACACACACATCTTCCACTTTTTCAGCCGACACAGCAGAATGGGCTTTTATGTATCGGTTTTGTTTCTTCTAATTACTGTCATAGTTGCTGTATGGAATCATTTCTGCCCTGGCGACGTGATGCACTTGAATTATTGTTGGGCCATGTTTTGTATTCATTTGATCCTCACCACTGAAAAGAATATTTTTATATTTTTTTACAAGTGATGCGAAATTTTCGTTGTTATTTTTTTGTAATACACAATCATTTTGTGTTTTTGACCTGCATGGAATCGTGGAATCCCTTTGAAACGTTACCTTTTCATAGAGGTGGCGGACAGTAACAGCTGCAAACATGACATAGTTTTACAATCCTTTATCACACAATAATGTCATTAAATTACAAATTTACTTTATACAATTTGTCGGCAGCAGAAAGATGTTTAACGGTTTATGACATACAGCAGGATTAGTTGGGATTGACTCAATTGACTCAATCACTCCAAGACCCTTCTTTTATTCTTTTTCTTTGGTGGATTTGCATTCAGTATTCTGTTCAAAGTTGCACAATATTTCACAAATTTTACCTGAAATTTTTTTCATATGTGGTAACTGAGACGTGAATAGCTGGATCACTATGTGGAATTAACGGCATTAAGTAATTTCTTACACCTAATGATTTATTTCCTAAAAGTATCTCGGGGCCTTTTTTTGGGAGGGGGGATTCGAAAGGTACGGTTTCAATATTCGCATGTCCATTTTCCTTTTAAAGAAACCAGCAATATCTATGCACTGTTTAGCTGAGGGTTGGCGTTTCCTTACCGTCCACCATTTCTGTATGCAGACACAAACAAACGTTTTTATTGGGTTATTCTGCTCTAATCCCTAATCGGAGCCTGTTCATATTTCAATAGTGACAATCTTTCTGTGCTTATTGCATCACAGTTCAGACATTTAAATATTCTTGAAGCAGTCCAGCCTTTGCTGTTGACTCTAGTCATCTTGAAGTGTTTCAGAGAAGAAAGCAAAATCCCCTCGAACTAAAGCTTAAACTATACATCAGTAGTGCAAATAATTAGCCAGCAAGCTTCTTAAGTTTTCCTGAGGGGTAAGAGAGCGATGATTCTCTTGCATTACGGAAACTCAAACATGACTACTACTGTACATTGTAGCACTTAAAATAATTTTAAAAACAGAGCAAGCTTATCTTAACTTCCTTTGTTTGACATGGATAAAAGCATCACAGTGCAGTGGAAGCTGTAGTATTGTCACGTGGAGAACACTGTTCTTTTGAGCCTTTTACTTCAAAGTAGATTTCCAGTCAGTTCTTGGTTTTATGTGTCCCACTTCACTAAGGTCAGACTTCTCGTTGGAAAGTAGCTTAAGTGAATAAAAGCCACTGAAAGATGCTTGATGTCTGATTTATTTGGTGTCTTTGCGTGTTCACATGCCTTAGGTTTGTATAAGATTAAATGCTTTTGTGTTTCTCTTGTGTGTGAGGATGGAGTTATTTGACCTGTTAAGCTTTCAACAGATGTTGTCTGGATCTAAACACAGTTTTAAAAAGATTCTTTTTAAAAAGGCCTTAGAATTTAAGATCCACAAAGTGTTTGTCTCCTTTTTTCTATAGGTTTATTATAGACAAGTGAACGCCTGAGTCCAAAATGCCTTCTGTTTGTTTTTGTAAATCATTTCATATCTTCTACGTAAATGAAATCTTAATGCTATTCTCAGACTAGGTTACAAAATCCGGCCTGTGCCAGCTCAAAAATATATCATTGAATGAACGTGGGTGCTACACCATGCAGTCTGCTGTCTGCTCCACCTGACCTCAACATCTGGCCCAAAATTAAAGAAATAATGACTTCAATTGACCTGGTGACTGCCTTTCTCTAAAATAAGGCTGCATTTTACAAATCGCTGATATCTAAAAAGCAGCCATATGACATCCATCCAGGTTAGCCTTCAAATACCTAGACCAAAGCAGTTTCAGTTAAGCTCTGTACCCTACATACTCCTGTTAGAATTGGCTTATATTTGACAGACTTTAGAGGCTTACTTTATTTAATGTAGAATATTGAGGGTGATGTTCATTAATTTTTTCAAATTAATTAATTTTTAGGAAATGGAACTTGAAAAGAACATTTTTGACAGTTGACCAGTGCAATTTCCCATTAACAGCAAAACTCGCGAGACCACGTGATCTCGTGATTCTATTTGGAGATATGATTTTTTAAA